TTAATGCGGCACGGCAGCTGGTTGAAATTGAGGTTAGTGTGGAGGGAAGCAAAGTCCTCCTAAAGTATTGTTGTAAAGCTTTTTTGTAATTTTAAGTAAAGTTAAAAATCCTCTCAGCAGTATATTATCTATAGGGAAATAAGGAACTGTCCAGCTTCCTCCACAACACATTTCATTCGACACATAGCAGTCAGGCGATGGATGTTCTCCTGGCAGCTGACAAACCCAGACTTTTCCATTAGATTGACAGACACAGAGGCCAACAGAGAACAGCATGGGCAACATGCTTCACATCCCAGCATTGGCACTTTGCATTGTATTTGTGATGTAAGGTTTGGATGTAGCTCCATACAAACCCATCTAATCGTGCTCTGGAGGTGTGTAGCTATTATTCCTGCAGAAATGGTGCAGCATGTATGCACTCTGTACTTTAGCATCGGTGGACGCAACTTTGTGATGTGATGTTACCTTCCAAGCCTGTGGCTGACTTGCTATTGTTCCCTATGCCTTCCAATTTGTTATATAAATATATATAAATATATATAAATACCCTTATATAAATACCCTTGTAAACACCCTGTGCAGTAACCCTGTATAATGATCCTACTATATATTTTTTTTTTAAATGTGGACGCACTGTATATACTGTATATATCCCATGAACCTTTTTCTTCCTTTGGCACATTCTCCTTCTTTGTCTGTTTGAGCTGATTTGAGCTATTTAAACGATCAATAAAGCAATGTGAGATCAATAATTCCAACAGTTGACTTCAGGATATTTACCTGATACATAAAAGGACTAAATAAGGAAAAAAATTAAACATAAAAATCTGAGATGTACACAAAACAATGAATTGATAAAATGAAAACAAATTGGCTAAAACATGATAAAAATCCTACCATAAAAGCTGCCTTTGTGAGTGAAATCCAGTCCTAAGTTAAGAAGCAACATTTTCAGCACAATTTAGGATTTCAGGCAATTGGTTTCAGAGGTTAGGAGCCTATTAATGGCCTCCCTCCTTTTGTTTACTCCTCACCCTGGAAACACAGAGTAAAGTGGTCTCTGGTGATTTGACGGCTCTGTGTGTTTCACACCTGACTATTGCAGTGATTTAAGGCCTGGTGTGATAAGATTCATTTTACAGTTTGCTAAGCAGCAGCATTTCTGATGACCTGCAGCTGCCTGATTTTTTTTTTTCTTCTTTTGCAAGTCGAGAACACTTTAAACAACCTACTAAAAATGAAAGCTGGTATTATCTAACTTGGCATTGTTTTTTAAAAGAAGTTAGAAGTCTGATTTTTATCAATTTTTTCCCCTTGCTCTGTTATCTTTAGCCCATCAAGTCTACTTTTGATTTCTCAACAACTTCAAAACAAAAATTTCTTCATTTTCTGCATTAATACGGCAGACGACCCACCCGACCCACAGGGTTGGCTGAGCAACTTTTTGTCAATATAGAAAACAGTACGGTAAAATTATTCACTCAAGACTATTTTATTATGATGGTAAATATTCTGAAATAAACCCAAAATATCATTTTAAAGTTTAATTTGCCTGAAGGGATCTAGGTTATGGTTTCAATGAATGCCTAAATGTATTAATCAACTTTAGACGTTCAAATTCCAGCTGTCTTGCTACTAATTAAGCTGGAATTGAAGATTTTCCACCATTATTCTTTCCACACTGCTGATCTTTTTCTCAGATCTGGAGCCAGGGCTGTGACTCCTTTGAACACTTTTAATAAAACTGTTTTCCAATAGCTTAATCTTTGTTATACGTTTCTTTATTAAATCTGTAGAGAGGTTTTAGTTCCTGATATTTCTTTTATTTCTACATATTCCTTTTTTTAAAGGAAGTAACTCAGCAAAGCAAATTTTGCACATCTAACTCAGATTTGCAACCAGCTCTAACTGAAGGAATAAAAAAAGTTACACTCTAGTGAAAAGTAATAAGTATTTTAATGAATAAAGTAATCTGCCTGATAAACTGAACATCGCATATGCTTTTCAATGAATTCCCACAAATCTCAAGCTGTCTGTGGGTCATAATTTGGTAGAAATGGTAAAAGTGCCACAGACCGACTGTATCTCCTCCACCCACATCAGCTCTTTAAATTCTACTCCAGACAGAATGGTGGTGCCAGTCTCACTGAGGGAATCGTAAACTTTCAGCAATCCATCATCCACGCTGTATTAATCACAGACTCTGCGTTGTCCATGTTCTGAATCAGCTTTGCTGAACAGATCCCATCAAGAGATAATGGCTTTTTTATCACCAGTAATAAAATGGGGCGAGGAAAAAAAATCAAATTCAGATTTGAGTAAAACAAAGCAGATGCATGAGAACTTAGATTATTTGTTCAGCTGTCCCTTGAATATTGTGGTGGTTTTAGTTCGACCTGTTTTTATTGCATCTCTGTTATTGTTTTAATGCCTGGTTATAGTGTGAAAGTATTTCCTTTTTTGTTGCACATGAATTCACAAGAATAAAAAGCATATTAAAACCAAAATAAGCTGTTTTTTGTAAGAGGTCTTAACTGTTATTCACAATGTAAAGATTTATGTTTCCTTCAGCCTGATATATAAAATAGAATATCATAAAACACAGACAATGATATTCTTCAGGTGTTTAATTCTGTTAAATTTGATTATTATGGTTATAGTGAATGAAAATCTAGTTTTTGGAAAAACTGTTGATTACTCTTATGGAAAAGAGTAATAAATGATTATTGTTAAGACACTAATATTAGCTTCTGCAACATCATGTGAATGTTTTTCTTATTTTTATTTTGTTTTTCATTGTGTGTGATACATGTACACTTGCACCTTAATCCTTATTTTATTGTAAAATGTGTGCAGGTTTGAAATAAACTTTTTGAAAAATGAAATAAAATCTTGATATACCGTATATATATTGTTTAATCTTAATGCACCTTCTTTAATTACTATGCCAATATGTGACCAGTGAATTTTTCCGCTGTGAGATCAATAAAGCTCATCTAATCTAATCTAATGAAAGACTACTGAGTTAAACGTTTTCTCAAATAGGGTAAGTTACAATATCACCAAAGAGATTGGCTGCTCTTATTTAGAAATAATAATGGAAAGTTTAGTGGAAGGAAGAAAGTGTGGAAGACAAGCACAAACATAAGGGGTCACTGTAAGCCTAAGAGGATTGTGAATCACAGGATGTTTAACCAAAAGTATGCCCATATACCTTATGGTTAATACCATAATTGGGCAAATTGTGGCTCTGACCTCCGACTTGGGTTCAAGGAAAGAGAAGACATACAAATGGAAGAAGATATGCAAAAGGTAAGCACAAGCCGAATAGCTCAGAGCAAGCTCCCATGTCAGAGGGTGAAGACAGCATAGTAAGAGAAACAGGACTACGCTCAAAAAAGGCCAAGCTCCAATATCTGTAAAAAGAGGTGTTGATGGCAGCAGCCCAGCTGATATTTCATTCCTGGATGGAGCCACAGTCAACCAGAAGCAGACTATTTGAAGCAAACATGAAAAGAAAAAACAGAGTACATAAAGTTAGAAGCTGAACTAACAAATACAGCAGAATGGTAGAATAGATATAATGGAGAATGAGGAAAAGTGGTCCCTGTGTCCTCCAGCAGCCTAAACATATAGCAGCTTAAATATAAAATATAGCCCAGGATAAACTATTTAGAAGGAAGTATGTAAAAGGTCTAAGAAAGGTCTGCCCGGACTGAATTCTTAATGGAGGATGTTTGTTAAAACTGGTGCTAAAGCGTTCAAAAAAGAATTATAAAAAACAATAGTCACACAAATTTAGCTAACTGCTGAAGCTCTAATTATAAATCCCAGGACAAAGAGGGTAAATACATTTGTAAGAGTCAGAAACAGGACACATGAAGAAGTGATATTTTTGCTATATAACTTGAGATGGGCTGTGGCCACACACCCTGTCATGTAAAGGATTTTGGGAAACCAAATAGCTCCTATGCAGCAGATAGGTCCCAATGCTAAATGCACTGTTACAGGAAGCATTCTGCTTCAATACCTATCGACCGCTGACGAACTTATGCAACCTTACCAATTATTCCAAATTTGGATCAACTCTACATCTTTTGCACACAATATTATGTCTTATTCTACGTGAATTAGTGTGTTGCATGTAGCTGATCAAAACTGGCATTGCTAGGCTTTGAGAGTAATATGAAGCTTGTATAAACCCTTGGCTTTGGTCTTATCTTTCACTTGACAATACCCCTCCCAGATTCTCTAATGGGGTTCAGATATAAGTTGTTTCATTCAATGAAGTAGTTATACCATGAGTCAGGGGAGCGGCGGCCTAGTGGTCAGAGCATTGTGCTTGGAATCCAGAGGTTCTGAGCTCAAGCCCCTCCCACAGACTGCCACCCTGGGTCCCTGAGTAAGACCCTTAACCCCACACTGCTCCCCAGGCACGGTGGCAGCCCACTGTTTCCCAAGGCGATGGGTCAAATGCAGAGGTTTGACGAAAGATGTGTCACTTCCTGCTGGTTCTCAACAACCCTAGGGGAGCATAATGACCTTCCATCCTAGTAGATTCTTTTTTTTTTTTTCTTCCAATTAATTTCCTTTAAACATGCTTGAATATTTTTTAACACAGGCTTCTTAAGCAATACCCTCATCAGTTCTCTCTGTTGTCATCTAGGCTTTTTATTTTATAATGCTTTTCATTACTGCTAAATCATGATCAAAATTAGCTTTAAATCTAGAAAAGGTTTTCATTTGAATTACTGAAAAACATTACATTTTTAGCCAACTGTGCTTTTCCTATACTTTCTAAACATCTGAACTCTACTAAGTATGTTGCCAGGCCAGAGGTTTTAACAGCAGGAGCTCATTTTTCACTGCTGTAGTGAGCAAACAGTGTCTGTGTGGAGATATTTGGCCCAACACTGCCACCCATGGTGGGATTTATCCTTCTTTAAAGTAAGCAGGCTGAAATCTAGGGCCTAAAAAAAAAAAAACATCCAAAGACACACTGTTGGCATTTCTTTAATAAACATCTGCCAAAGGACAAGGGAGGAGGACAAATCATTTTAGTACAAAAAAGAAAAACAAAAAAAAACTTCTGGATCAGTTTGTTTCTCTCGCCAATTTGTTTCTTTGACACTGCCGAGTATTTCCATGGTTTTCCAAATCTTTATGATGCAAGATGGGATGTGCTGTGGTTGTACAAGTGCTACCCAGTCTCAGTCCTACAATAAACTCCCTGCACTGAAGTTCTCAGCCAAAAGTCGACACCACATCAGTCACAATAAGTGTGCATCCGTTTCCTTTCATTGCCAAAATAGTTTCTGCCTACTTTGGTCAGTAGTGCAAAACAATAATACTACTCTTCCTCAGGTTATTACAGAAAGGCTAAAGGTAGAGATTAAATTTTACCCGGCCTGACACTGTACATCCAAAAACAAAAAAAGGTAAAAGTTTAATTTAAAAGACAGCAAAATAATTACAAAAAATATGAAAACAGTATGAGCGAGAAAAGCTCGTGGTGTTATTCATTTGTCCTTCTGCAACATATTCCAGATCAAGGGAAAATACAACGCTTTACACAGAATTAATTTATTAAAACGGAATTTGCATCAGCAGATCCATCCGACTAAAAACAAAACGGTTCCGCAGTTGAACAGCCGCCTGTCTTTCGTTGCATGAAAAGTTTCCAGGTTTTCAGAAAGGCAGCCCTCTTCCTCTGATTGCTGCTGTGGAATTCACATGTGGAACAAACCCAAGGGGGAGAGGTGGTGCCCCGATTTGAGATGGAGACCCCCAGGGCTGTCCTGGTGCTGGGATAGGAGGCGGGGGAGGAACCCCATCCTTTCTAGCCATGGCATGGTTGTACATGTGGATGGCGCCGGGGTTGGGCTGTCCCTCCACAGGTAAAGGACTGTGATTGTACTCGAATCTGTGGTCCTTGTCCCCACTGAACAGCAGGCTGCTGGGTCCAGATGTTGCAGCTACTGCTGTTCCAGGTGGGAACTGGTCTGGGTGGGCTGGTGGCAGAACCCCGGCACTGTTTGAGGATCCGCCGGCCTGTCCTGGCCCGCTGAAAACTTCCCTCAGAGTGTGAGACGGTAGGCCTCCACCCAGCATGTGCCCCATGTAGCTGTCCCTGAAGCTTGCAGGAGTGAACGGCGGAGGAGGAGGATGGCTGTACGCAGAGCCCTCCGCAGAAGGAAGAGGGGGGTAGTCAGGCTCTGGGGGCCGCCCGCCATCACTCCCGCTTGAAGAAGCAATCGGGGGAGCATGACCCAGCTTGGGCTCTGGCGGTGGTTGCCGGTAATCCAGATCGGCGTGTGGAGGTGGTTCTGGAGGTTCAGGGGGGCGCTGGTCTGGGGGGAGGATGGACATGCCACCAACCTCAGAAACTAAAAACATAAATACACATAGAAACAATTAATGCAAAAAATGTTAAAAAAAAAACTGGATGAAAAAATTATTCAGTTGATTGACTAGTGATAATTGTTTCGGGCAGCTCAGTAAAATAGATCATTATCAGAATGATTAGGTTTAAGGAGGGCGACTCAAACTCAAATCAAGATATACGTTCCAAGATCTTTTTAAGTACCAGTATTAGTATTTCTGTTCATTTTGATTATTACTCATAATATTCAAAACAAAACGCTTTGCTTTCGTACATTACTGTTAAAGCCTTAATCATGGGGAGGACTACATACTTGACAGTTTTCAAGCAGATTGTTATGCTTTCCCCCACCTGGGTGGAAAGTGGAAGCTCGGTTTTAAGGAAGGTTAGAGGTACAGAAATTAGCAGTTAAAGGGAAGAAACTGAGCTAACATTTTCCAGGGAACTTCAGAGCATTTAAAGGTTGAAACTGAAGCCACCCTGGCTTCCCTAACACGTCAGTAGAGCCACAGAAGGATCTGGTTATTGATGCACTCTTTAGAGCCACAGCCTGCACACCCAGAGGCACAAAGGCTCTACATCACTTTTCATAAACATGATAAGGAGCCAGCTAATTTTCTTACACTGATATGCTGACAGGTACAAGTTGTACTGTTTCTCTGTTGACTGATCAAATTGAAATTCCTAAAAAATTAGCTCCAAATATAACAGAAATATAGTTTTAGTAGCTGCCATCGAAATCAGAATAAATAACAAATAAATAAATATTTAGGTTAAAAATAATAGAGTTCATAAATACATCAATTTCTATTAACAGCTAAATATTAAAAGCATAATTTCATGCATTTCATTGACACTGTTTGTTTGATATGAGGAAACGGGTCTTAATTAAGGAGGGAACCAAAATGTTGCTGCCGCGGGTTGACGGAGTGTTACCTTTGAGGGTCGGTACCTGCTGATCAGTAACGTTCTGGATCAAACTATCAGGCAGACGCCTCACTGATTCCTCTGTCTAAGCCTCCAGCAATGTTAAGAAAATTAGATAAAGTGCATAGTGCATTAAAGGACTGAAGATTCTAATTATCTCTCAAGGGAAAGCGGCCAGTGAGGTACATTTTTGTTTATTTTACTGTTAACTTTGTTTGACTTAAGATGTAACACGAAGAATTTCTGTTGAGCCTTATATTGTACAGTCGCGTTGATCCTTTCATAACTTTACGGGGAAATAATTTGTTTTTTTGCTTTTCTGTCTGTATGTTTTATCAGTTCTCACGAAACACTATCATGCTTCTTGTGTGATTAAAGCCAGCAACTAAAAGAACGACTTGGTTTCAGGATTTCGACTTGAAATGGAATTACAGTTTTTGATCTTTTATTAATAAGAAGAATGTTTTTTCAAGATTTTTTCACAAATCTAAACCCACTGAAAAGTTTTTACTTAATTTTAACACCTAATATAAAAAGAGACAATGATTATCTTCTATGATAGTTATTTTTCCTTTTTCAAAAAAAGGTAAACTAATGTTTGCAGCTCTAAACAAACTGCATTAGCTGGACTGAATCAAAAATGTCTCTTTGGATTGTAAAGGTTGTTCTAGAAGAACTGAGGTAAAGCAGCTTCTATCTTCTGTCAGTCATGGGATCTCTGAATGTTTAAAACAGCTTTTTGTCATTTCTGCAAATTCAATCAAGCACATTTTTAAGAGTTACCTAAAATCATCCTTCTGCAAATTAATTTATAATAAAGCCAAAAAATACAGTCTCTTTAAATGCCCCATTTGTTGCCTTTCAGGTTCCTCTCTGGGTAAATGCTCTGGATTGTTATTGCTACTGGTTTGTAGGTGGCTGTGGTGAAAGGTGGCTCTCTCACCTGGAGAAACTGGACTGGGTTCTGGAGGCTGTTGGACGTCTGCTGGTGGAAGTGTTGGTGGTGGGAGTGCGGCAGCAGCAGGGTTGGTGCTCTCTCCAACCTCCCCGCCATCACTCGCTTCCTGCCTCTGAGCCTGCTGAGCCTGGAGCAGCTGAGCTAGCAGCATGGTCACAGCCGTCTGCGTGGCGGCTGCCGTCTCGCCCTCTTGAATGCTGGGCGGTGCGGACATGGGGGGCGAAGGAGGCTTGGGCATCGGAGGTGTGCGCGGGACTCCTGCTGGAGCAGGAGGCTGTGGGGGCTTAGTGGGGGTGGGCTGGGCCGTGGGTTCGGATGGGTCAGAAGGAGCTAAGGCTTTAGTGAGCTGCTGCAGGGCCTCCTGGTTAACCTTTGTACTCATGGACTGAACAAACTGGGCTGTGTTGATTGTACTCTTGGGCTGGCCCAGTAGGTTCAAGAGGACCGCCAACTGCTCCTGGGTGAACTGGGAATTTGGACCCTTTGGTTCTGTAATAAGCATAAAATGTGGTTATTATTCTTAATAAACCAAATTAATAAAAGCAGGATGTCAGAGACAATCAATAGATGCTTTGCACAAATATTCATACATTGACTTTTCAATTCCTCAAACTTCATCCAAAAAATGAACTGCAATAATGTCTGCCACTGTGTGTCATTTGACTTTCATTTTTCTTATTTTATATAGTTTTGAAAGTTGACATGCATTCTTTTTCGAAGGGTTCTGTAGATTCTGTGGCTGAAGACAATATTTAAGAAGCAGAATCAGCTGCAGATCTCTGGTTTAGGTGGACGGCCATGTCTCAGTAGGCGGTGAAGTGTTTGTAACTGCAGCTCTATAGAGCTGGAAAATATGGCCTTGTAGTACGATAACGATAGCACTGACTATAAAAACACTCTTCAACCATTCTTAGAAGCTGTTCTTTGGTAGCTGTAACTGCCTACCAAAACAATCAAGGCCTCACAATTACAAACACTACCCTTAAAAAAAAATTAAAAAGGCTTCTTCAGGAAACTAGTTACATAAAGACGTGTAATTTATAGAATAGAAAATCCATGTCCTACATCGGGAAATTCTGGTGTTTACAGCAAGAAAAAGATTATAGAAAAATGGTCACATAAATATGGACCTTAGGAAAAATGAATAAGAATAAATAACATAATAATGAAGAGTTAAAAGATAAACAATAAAATACTGCACTCATATATATTCTATAGGAACGGCATTTAATAATATTCCTTAATTTGCCAATGCCCCAATGGGAAATTTTTTTAAATTAAATTAAAGAAAAATAGCCCAAAAAAAATAAATCACAATTCACTCTTTTATCTTTGAAATTCAAACTTATTGTTTAGACGATAAATAAAAATATTTTAGATTAGAAGTTGATCATGATAACAACAAATATGATTAATGCCCACCCCTAGTGCTTTATGAAATGTTCAGATTAAGGAAGTTTTAAATTTTATTTGGGGGCATTTAGCTTGAAATTAGACCAACATCAATAACAAACCCTGATTCTTGTTTAAAGAAAAAAAAAAAAAAGGCATGCAGCATCTCAGAGTTTTCCAGCCTGAGAATCAAACAGCAGTTAAACTCACCTAGCAGAGCAGAAGCGGCTGCATTTGGTGCCTTGATGCCCCCCGGGGCAGAAAAACCCTGCGGAGTGTTGCTGCGGCTGTCATCGAGGCCAAGCTCTTTCCGGGGAGCCTTGGGGGCCACCAGCTCTTCAGGCATCTGCTTCTGTCTGCGACGTTTCTTACTCCACAGCTCGTGACAATCCTGCCAAAGGGGAAGACTGCAGAGATGTGGACAGAAAATGTCAGTGATCTTTACGACGCCGTCCAACCCAGCAATGAAAACGACATGAAGCCAATCGTACTCTGGAGGAGGCATTTTGTCTGGATCTACATCCTTCAGGAACTCGCTGCCCAGTGCTTGCTCAGCAGTGCAGCGCTTGCTTGGGTCCAGGTTCAGCATGTGGTCGAAGAGGTCCAGGGCAGACGGTGGGATGCTGGAGCAGAAACAGAAGCAAGAAATCTACGAAACAGCTCTCGGAAATAGATCTAGATTTATTAGTAACATTTAACAGACTTACAAAGCAAACTCTTCCCGTAGGCGTCTCCGGTATTGCTTCTTTGGTTTCATGGTGTTAAAGAAGGGAAGCTTTATGACATCTGGCCAAACAGCAGGACAAGGGCTGCCACAGATTCGGCTACAAGAAACACATCCATTCATTTATTATAGCATCATGAAGGAACGGATGTTCCTTCATGAATGTAATAAATAAAACTAAAGCAACACATTTTCTATTTTCTCCATCAAAAGCAAACAAGCAAATTGGCCGCTCATATCCACTGGAATTATTTCCACCATTAGGAGGGTTTATTTGGAATTAGCCATAGTAGCTGTTTTTTTCCATTAACCATCAAATTGCAAGTAAAAAAACTAATTTTGTTTAATAGTAACACTGCAAAAGAACGAGTCTGCAATCACGTGATCTGAAGCTGGACCCAACTGCCTCAAAAAAATTATGAAGATGTGAGGATAATGGTGCCCACAAGAGCCGCAGCTGGAATACGGATACATCTCATGTGTTTACAAACGCTGCTGCCATGTTGCTATGAAGAGTTAGTGTTTGATCAAACGTATTCAGAAGCAATTTGAATTAAATCTGTAATTTTATGGAAGTGGCGCAATTGCGGAAAAATTGCATTTTCCAAATTAGCAGAATATTGAAATAGTTTGGCGAACATTTGTAATGAAAACGCAGCTACTGTTGCCGGGTGACAATTTCTCTCCTAAAACCTTTTCCTGTTCTTAACCTTTTTAAATAGTCATGATGGAACCAAAAACATCTGTTCTAGACATTTCCATAAAAACCAAAATCCATCCATGTTGCTTTAACTGATTGTGGAAAAGGAAATGAGCAACCAGGTGGCACTGATCATCAGCAGGGAGGAGCCCCTCCATATAAAAAGGTTCGAGCACTTTGCCGTTCTGTTGTTTGAAAGCATTTTTTCACTGTACATCAATCTGAGAAGTTTCTTCTCATTGCTCCATTTATAATCCAAGGTCCATCATTGAATGGTGAGAAAGGAAAAATGATATCTGCCATTATATGCCAACTATGAAAGCTTTTATCTGAATGAACCATAATGAGCAACGTTTGGAGAGCACCAAACGCAGTTATCAGCATAAACATATACCAAATGTCAAGCACAGTGGAGGAGGTGGTAATGTGGGCTTGATTTGCACCCACAGGACATGGCCAGTCCTGTGGATATCATCCAGTTACCTGCTCAGTATTCTCATGCGGGGTCGTCTGAAATACTGTGGGGCTACCTTAACAGATCTGTGCAGACACCCGTCTGCAAATCCGAAGGAAGAGAATCAACACTTTTAAACCAGGCTGAAACTCCTCCACGAAGACGTAACTGAATGTCTAATGCTTAAAGTTGCTCTAGTAAAGCCGAGCATACACTGTGCAATATTTTCAATCATTGCACGCAGGTACAGCTCAAACTGTACGACCAAACCGCAGGATTTCAAAGTTCACAGCTTACGATGCATGTTCTGATGCGATCTTATGACGGCCGACCGAATTTCAAACATGTTTGATTTTTTTCCTGACCTTACGATTCCTGATTGGGAGGTGGTCGTGAGAGGCTAATCGCCCCTCGTTACCCCCTGTATACTACATGGCACAGGACGAACGAGGATGAAAAATTCTATCATGACTGGAAAATCGGTTCAAAAAAGGGAGAAAAAAAAATAAAAAAAAAACATACAGTGAATGCCTGGATTAAATTTTGATACTGTACTCAGTGCTATCCCATTTTGGCCTTATTTAGTAAACACATCATGGAATCTGTTGTATTTATATTCTCTAAACAAAAGTTTGATTCAAACACCTTTACATTTGAGGGGAAATGGTGATTAAAAGCTGATGATTAAATACATAGAAACCAGGAATAACACTAGGTTACCTGATGAGCTCCAACTGTGCGAGCTCCTGGTTAGCTTGAAAGATGGGCTTCTTTGTGAAGAGTTCTCCCAGAATGCATCTGTGATCGACAGGAGGACTCATTAATCATGAGAGGAAAAACATGGAGCCCATTAGAGAAGTATGAATATAGATCACCTACCCACAGCTCCATACATCAATAGCCGGTGTATACCGCTCCTCCCCCAAAAGCAACTCTGGTGGACGGTACCACAGTGTGATCACTTTATTGGTGTATGGACGACTGAGAAAACAAAAAACACACAGATGTGTTTATTGTTGAGGTACTGGAAAAATCGAAACATGAACAAGTAAAATAGAACTCACCTCTCTTCAGAGTTGTACAGACGAGCAAGTCCGAAGTCTGCCAGCTTTATTTGACCTCTGATTTAAAGAGGAAAACATTGATCAAAGAATGAAGGAAAAAACATTTAACAAGGGAACCAAACAGGTGTTTGTTTGTTTTTTTCTCTCAGGAGAAGCCGCCATCTTACTTGTTATTGAGCAGTATATTGGAGCACTTGATGTCTCTGTGAAGGAAGTTCTTCTTGTGGCAGTAATCCAGGCCCTCTAGTAGCTGCCGCATAAAGGACTTGATGTGGTTCTCGTTAAAGTGAACCAGTCCTGATTCCAGCAGGCCCATCAGGTCATGGTCCATGTACTCGAATACTAGATAAAAAGCGCCTGAAACAAGAAAAACAACAACAAAAAACATTTAGTCAGTACAGAGATGCAAAGCCAGGACTGACCTGAGCAGGTAGAAAATATTACCTTTATCATTCTTAAAGTCCAGAGCATCTTCCTTGTCGGTGACGATCTCCTTCATGTTTATGATGCTCTTGTGATTGAGCTGTCGCAGAATTTTAATCTCTCTAATGGCGGTGATTGGAAAACCTTCTTTTTCATTGTCCAGTCGAACCTTTTTCAAAGCCACCATCTCACCTACAGGACAGGGAAGAGTTTGAGAAATTATCGATAGAGAACAGATAGATTTTTATAGGCATATATTAAAAATATATTGGGGAATGCGTTTAAAGAAAAGGAAAATGCATCAATAAAGGCTGTGGGCCATGTTATATGCCGACTGAGCAGAGAGAGGTGTTTCCCAGAGAGAGTGGCAAGTTTGTCTACATTGTTCTTTATCTTTTTTCTCCATAAAGAGGTGAAAGTGTTGAGCTTTGCTTACCTGCACTATATGCCACTCGTTTTGTTTTTTTATGCTCAAAGAGGATCACTATTTCATCTGTTTTCTGTCTTTCTAAAAGGCTTATCATTTTTAGAAGTTTTATTGGTTGTTTGTGTCCCATTCTGCTCCTCCTGCTATGTTTGCAAAAACGCTGGCATACGTCGGATAAGTAATGTTTAAGTTTTGCATAAGACATGGGCAGGCTGAAGCACATCGACATACGGCAAGTACGTCAGGAAATTTTATTTTGAGCATATTCAAAATGTCCCGACGTATGCCAGAGTACGCTCATACATGGGGCATAAGATACAGGGAAGTTATCTGATTGTTGACATATGTCAAGTCACGCATAAGTCGTGGTGTATAGATTATCCAAAACCTGAGTAACTTGTGCATAACTTATGAGTAACTTATCAAGAACTGATCTCCAGAGTATATAAACGTGTTCCAGACAACCACTGAACGTGATTCTAACTTACTTATTGGCAGCGTTTTGGTATGAAAGGAGGTTCACAGGAGGAAACTGTTAGTCCTCCTCCAGACTTCATCCCAATCATTGGGTGAGCAAGAAGGTGAGTGTGATGGATTCTCCCTGCGTTCACGCCCACGACCAACACATTTCCTAGCAGACATGATGCTGAATCAGCTGCAACTGCAAACCTTTTTTCTTTCTTGTTTTTATTTATTCTTTTTTTTTTTTGGTGGGCGATGAATCTAGGTTAATATGCAATATATATCAAAGACATCTTTTTATGCAAGCCGGGTACTGGCTTGTGCATCATTTCATAGGCATTACACTGTCGTGCATTATGCACAAGTTAGGCTGTCATCTGACATAAGCTCAGGATTTGTATTAAATACGCTATGTACATGCCCAAAATTAAGTAAAAAGTACATAGAAAGATTCTGGGACATCGGGCATACGCTGGCTAAGTCTCTTTTTAATTTAAACAGATTAGTTTACCATTTATCTATCGCAGATATATCTTTAGTGATCAGCATTTAAATAAGAAAACTGGGAAAAACGGATAGATGAATGGATAGACAAACTGATCAAAAGTTGAAGATATTTCCCCATTTATTTTTATTTTAACTCTTTCCAGATCAGGAGAAGACTTTGAAAATGTTTCCATACTCCACAGGAAACCTGGTTGTTGTGGATGTAAACTCTCACCAGTGTCTTTGTCCTTAGCTTTGTAAACTTGACCGTAGGTCCCTTCCCCTGTTATTCCAATGATCTCAAACTTGTCCACGCATCGCTTTCCCCAATAAATCTCTGTTTCTTTAATTTCACCAAATCTTGGACCACAGATTCTGGGAACAACAGGAAAACGTCATGATTGATTAAAGAGAAAAAAAACAGGCAGCCATAAACTGCGTGTTTTTGAACAAACCTTGGTCTTCGACGAAGCGTTTGGGACTTTTTGTCCTCAGGCGAGTTTTGCGGGGACGAGGTGCTGCCAGGCAGCTCAGGCGGCAGAGGCAGGTCGGTCAGGAGCTGCCGGGGCTTCTTCTCCGTCTTCTTCTTTACTGAGGTCTCCTTAAAACTATAAAACAAAAATCAGAAACTGTGTGTTAGCAGATCTGAAAAGCCTAAAACCATCAACAGCTTGGGGGAAACTCATACCTTTCTCCTTTATCCAAGTTTTCAACTGTTGGGGGCATTGGTAGAGGTGGCAGTGTAGAAATAACTGGCGCTGCAGCTCGTTCCTTGTCTTTGATCGGTCCTGATGCTCCCACTTTCCTCTTGTCTCTGTGTATAGAATCATCTCTCACCTTCCCATCCCTGTCCTTGCTGGTCTGACGTTCTATAGTCTTCTTGGGCAACTTATCTGAAGGGGACTGCGGCCGGCTGGATGATGGCGTTCTGGGTCCCTTCTCTGGTGGAGGTGGAGAGGGCGGACGCCCCTTCCTGGTTATGTGGTTCAACTTGGGACTTGGCTGAGGAGCAGATGAAGAACCTTTGGTCGGTGTAGACGTGCTGCTCGAGTTCTTGGCCTTGGCAGCGGCCTCTGCTGCTTTGGCTTTCTTCTGCTTACTGAGCTCGGCGGCAAGGCTGGATTTGAAGGTGAGAGTGCTCGGCGAGAGGCTGGAGGGGCGACTGCGGGATCGAGAGTGCCGGTGGCGGCTGTGGGAACGCGAATGCCTTGATATTGAATATGGACTTCTGCTTCGGGACCTAGCAGATCGTCTGGAAGAAAAAAAAAATTTTTTTAGACCACATAATGACAATATAGCCAGTGTTTTTCAATCCTGATCCTCAATGCACCCTGCCCTGCATTTTTTAGATGTTTCCCAGCTTTCACACACCAGTTATCAATTGATAGCAGATTATCAGGCTTTGCTGAACTGCAATCAGCTGAATCAGGTTTGCTGAACCTCAGAAACATCCAAAACAGTGTGCCTTGAGGACCAGGGTTGAAAAACACTGCCTTATACCACAACATTAAGACAAACTAACAAAAATTAAATATAGCGTGCTGTAAATTGTGACCTAATAAATAATTTCTTTCCTTCATACCATAGAACATTTTGTTCCTGTTTTGACTGACAACCTGGGCTCATATTTCTTATGATTCAAGTTGATCGGAATAAAGAGGGATTAAATACAACTGAACTGTAGAAAAGTTAGTGCTAAATTCATCAAGTACTCACTAAAAGTCAATGATGACTAAATAATAGGGATGCACGATACTGGGATTTTGGTCGATATCCGATATGCCGATATTTTAAAACTCATGTAGCCGATAACCGATATCGATGTTAAAGCTGGACAAAAATAAGTAGTCATTGAAAATAGCAGTTTTATTATCCATTTCTGACACTTTGAAAAATAATATACTCAAATATATTTTTCATATGCCGATATCAAATTGATTTTTAAAAACGCGGTATCGATCTATTTTACTTTCAAAATCTCGTGAAATTTCCTAGTTCTGTTACAAGCTCTCGTGATATTTTGCAAATTCTTGTGAGATTTCGTAGCATAACGATGACATATAGCAATATTTCATTAGTAAAAGAGATTGATATGGTGTTTTTAAATATCATATGAACATATTGTGATATTTTAATGTATCAATATTTTTTCCCTCGTCTTTAGAAGTTTTTAAGTCTGTAAAAAAGAAGTTTTTGAGGAAGAAGAAGAAGTAGTATTTGTTTATTTTTTTAGACTTTAGAAACTCAGAAGCTGATCAAATATCGGGTTAAATATCGGTGGGGTGGCCGATGTCCGATATTCAGTTTTAAGGCCGATACAGGCCGATACCGATAGGGGGCCGATTATATCGTGCATCCCTACTAAATAATATTAGATCACATAACAAAATGCTAAAATTTTTTAAAACAAAGTTATATTAGGGTTGGAAGATATGGCCAGACACCTCTCCAAAACAATAAATCTTTCTTGTTAGCCTGGGGAAAGGGAGCTTTATCTTTTTTTTTTCAGCCCTCTGAACTGTGGTTTGCAGCAACAAGTGGGGGGAGGGCAGCAAGATATGGTAGCCAATGCATCTATTAGTCTCAGTTTAGCTACACTTTTAAGCACTTACCTGACATCTGGACTTGGACTGACGGACTTCCTGTAAGGGCTTCGGGATCTTCTCCGATTCCCATAAGGACTTGGAGCGAACTCCCCCTGCTCGTATGGACTATGTCTGCTAAAACTGGGTGACCTTCGCCAGTTAACTGGACTGGATGGAGACCGCTTCCTCTTGTTGCTGGAATAAGAACTGGGTGACTTTGTAACACCATACGCTCCATATACATCCGAGTCCCGGCTATAATAAGTGGAACTGGGGGAAAGTTTTTTACTTCCGAATGTTGGACTCCTTCTAGATATCACCTGGTTGAACCCACCAGGGGACTGGTAGCTGTATGTATAGGCTGTCCCATAGGGACTGTCTGCTTTAAACCCAGGGCTTCTCCTGTACCCCTTGAGCTCCTCCCGATCATCTCTGTAAGCTTGTGGAGCTTCTCTGTAGGCAGATGGAGGCTCTTTCTCGGACCTTGTTTTACTTTTGTGCCTTTTTGGATCCTTTTTGTCTGCAGATTGGGAGGTCTGAGATGAGGAAGTCCTTCTGCCATTCCTGTCCCCAGTCTTTGTGGTGTCTCTGTGATTCCTTGAGCTACCCAGACTACTCCCACCCCTGACTTTTGAGGAGTCTCTCTCACGGCTGTGGCGATCCTTCTTTCTAGTACTCTCTTTTCCCTGCTTGTTCTTCGTCGATTGTCCTCTTGTTATGCCATCTTTAGTCAGGCATACTGTCTCCTGAACCCCCAGTTGGGATCTTACTGGGGATGCTGGTCCGTTAAACTCCCCCAAATCTACGTCGCTAAGTCGATCCACTGACAAACTGTCGGTATGAGGGTAAAGTTTAGGAGACGGGCTTCCAGAGAACCGCTCCGACTGAGAGCTAACATCGTCATACTCCACTAGAGTCTGAAGTTCGAGCTCTTTATCGAAAGCGCCTTTTCGGTTGTTTTGAGCTTGTTCTGTCGCACCGATGGGCCACAGGGATCTGTTCCTCTGCCTGCGTTTCTTTTTCCGGCCGACCGCTGATCGCCTCTTCTCCCTGTGCCTGTCTCGCTGTGTGCTCCCCGGCTTACTCCTCCTGTCCTGCTTGTTAGCATGTCGCTGTTCAGAGGGGCTCCGTCCGCGACCCTCGCGGAGCACCTCCGAATTGGGCATTTAGCTTCCAGATAAAAAAAAAAAACAAAGCTACTACCGAGTTCGGAATACGAAGACGTGTTGTGTTAAAAATATATACGCCGACGTGTTGCTAAACAAAACATTTGGCCATCGGTGTAACAGGCTACTTGGCTGACGTCAGGCTAGCAGGATCAAAAGCTTAGCGTTTCCATTCCACAGCTAGCACAACAAAGAGTCCGGAGTAATTTCCAACGAATGACGATAATTGGTGACAAAAGAAAAGAACAAACCACACCCCCCACCCTCATATAATCTATTGAGGAGTCAAAAAAGCAGTCGGCACTCGAGCATTGTGCTCCGGGTTGGCTGTCTCCAAGAATTTGTTAGCCAATGCTAATCTCTTTAACCAGCTAGCTTTCTCTAGCTAACCGCTCTGGTTCACAGTCGCATTCCATTGAATCGCCCACAGAGGCCCATAAAAGCTCAAGTTATTAAGAAAGAGAGTTATTCTTTTACAGTAAAATCCACTCGACTCTTTAAGATTATTCAGCAGACAGTGTTACATTGCAGAAAATGAAAAACGTTCCCTTTGAAACTTCTTCTCGCCTCCAATCACACTCCGGTGTGCAACAAGGAAGTGATTAGCCTGCTAACAGCTTAGCCTCGCTAGCTCCCCTTTCTCCTTGCGTGGAGTTCCAGGCGATTCGGGCAGGAAAACAAAAGCCATTCAAAACAAGCTGCTCTCTAAACTGATCCAGCCGGGCTGATGATCCATCTCCTTTACACCGGCGTCCAAATACAGCGATCACGCTGACGCAGGATGCGGATCAAAAACACTTTGGATTCATGTCGAAAATAGAATAAGTTTGTGCGTAACGTGGCTAACGGTTCAGAGCACCGAGGGCCGAGCGGCGTTCGAACTACAGGCCGCGTGCAGCGACGGGAACCAATCAAAGCTGCGATCGTGATCCGGATAAGAGCCGACGTCATTGAAGGGAAACCCTCGCCTTCAAAGTAGAACACCGAAAACAAAAACATTTTAGTAAAAATTTCAAAATATTAAACCTGACTATTGCTAACACAACTTCAACTTGACTTAACTGATGTCTAAAACTCGATTACTTTGATTATATATTATGAATCAATTCAGTTTAATAACTATAATAAATTATTAACATAATATACGGATTAAGCAAAATTAAGAGTTTATTTCAGTTATTTTAATTACGTCTCCTGTTTCCATTACAGTAATTCATTTTCCAAATAACTGAATTTTGCCCTTTTATAGTTAAAACTTGTTTTTTTTCCCCAAACAAAATCAAATCATGATTAATTTTCTACCCTATGAGCTAAACTGGTTAGTGATGATCAGTGACAAATATTTAATTTGAACTGAATACTCTTGTAAAAACATTAATATTGCTAGGTATACATATATTGTCTTATATAACACTTTAACTTCCTCAGAGGGCTCTCTCTTCTACTAATGAAACCATTTTTTTTTAGATAGATCATGCATGCCCCAAACAACATTGTCTTGTTTCTTCTGCTGATTTAACTGCACTTCCTATTACCATTGTTTCTAGTTATGATCTAGATTTGGGCCATTTAACCAAAAGGGATTATCAATTAAATCAAAACATGAGAACCTCTTAATGGTTGAATTATATCAGAGGCATACATTTATCTACCAGCTCAATAATGAATGGGTTGCAGAAATTGCCTTAAATCATCAATAGCAACTTGATTTTTATCAAACCTGTTTGTTCTGGTGAGTTTTTGTTGTGAATAACTACACATATAAATGAAAGCAAAATCCACCTTCATGTAATCAGCTTGGATCAAAAATGTATGCAGATGATATCCTGTGACGTGTTTACAAGCATGAATGACGTACATGAACAAAAACAAAAAAATTCATAAAAAAAAAAAAAAAAAAAGAATATGGTATCATATGAAAAATCTGAGTCAATAAGTTTAAAAGTTTCAGCACACTCAAAAAGAGAGAAAAAGCAAACAGCAGGATGGTGAAGTGTTCAAATGACATCCTCCTTTTAAAGGTCAGTCTATCTGTTCAGTGGGAGATAAAACAAGGTATGAGAGAGACCAGCTGTTTCACAAGATTGAACAAACACACTTTGAAATGTTATTAGTAATATCCACTTTATTTGCCATTTCCAAATTACTCACAAAAATGAACTGAAATGTAAGCTTCACCTCTTGCATTCACAAACAGGCTACATTAGTGGTTATGCTCAAAGTAAGTAAACATGGAAACATTTAAACAGATGGCATACATCGAACCATCCCAGACGTAGATCGCTGTGGTTATTCCCAGGGCATTTATATAAAAGGTAAAGCAAGTTATTTAAAACACCCAACAGGACATTTTGCTTGCAGCTTTTCACATGAGTTCCTGCTTTCTAAAGGCCAGAACACAGCGAGTCCAATTTTGTGTTCAATCCAACAGAAAATGGTGTCGGGGCGAGGCCGTGGCATTTAGCGCTTATTTAAAGTCAGCGGGGATGATTACACCAACCACAATTTTACACAAGGGGGCTGCGTAGGTCTGTTGGAGATAGACCCCAGGTCTACTTTAGTCGGACTATGCAGCAATTTAGCAGCAATTTCATGGATCTGACAGGAAGAGAGACGAAGTTACCAAATAAAAACGCATCCGCTTTGGGAGAAAATGCTAAATAAAATCTGTTAATCGCATGAGGAAACAGTTTTTACTCAAGTAAGCGGGACGCAAAAACAATAAATGAATCATTACAAAAAGAATTCTTTACCCACAATAGGGGTTTAGGAGGACATAAAACAGAGTGTAATGATCCTCTTTGAACCTTGCAAAAACGACACTGGACAAAAAGAGAAGAACAGTATCTCACTCAACTCAATAAAAAAAAAAAAGAAAGATTTTGATAAACTTCCCCGATCTCTCTGAGAATCACATCTCCCTGCATCAGTCAGCATGTAAAACACCCCACAGTGTTTGTTGCTGTGTTTTCTTTTCTTTAGACGTGGATTTCATTATGTTTTTAATATAGGGCTATAAACATTATCTGTTCTGGTTTGAAATGCTCCACAGACTCATTAAGTGATGCTTTGCTTTAAAAAATAAGCCAGTGTTTATCTTTTTTTTTTTTTATAACTTTCCATAATCTGTGCAAGTCAAAAGAGGGACATTGGTTTAATTTGTGTATAGCAAAGAGACAGAAGTGATAAAAAAAAATCTGAGCAGATCTGCTCATCCCACCTAGACGGAGCCTACCTATATGCAGTCAGTGTGAGATCAAAAAGTCATACGCATCCGCAAACTGTGTTCTGGCCTTTATCCTGCAGAAAAGTGTTAGCGTTTACATTTTATCACATCAAGAAAATGAGGCAAAGGAGTGGAGTAATTACAAAAGATCCTCTAAAAATCATAAGTGATATTGTTAAATAATAGTTTCTAACTAATGCAGGGAAAGTCCTGCTCCAACAAACTGGGCTCTAATTTAGATTCTTTGACTTTCAGGGAAGTGATGATGTGCCGAGGTTAGCCCTTAGAACATCTAAAAACGGCTTATTCTGATGAAATGGCTTTCCAAGATTTTGAGTCTACCCCCCTTTCTGTTCAACTCTGTCCTCTGTGTGCTTAACGCTCAACATGCTTCATTTTTCAGTTCTCTAGCAAGGAAACACGACAGAAAGCTTTCTGCTTTAGCTTGGAGAATCGATTCAACAGTCATTTTAAATCTAATAAAAAGCAGAACTTTTGGATGATATTGTGTTTTCCAAGTTGTAATCTGATCTCTAACGAGCTTTAGAGCTGAAGTGCTTCTACTGCGCTTCGCCTTTTAAAAAGGTCATTTAAAGACACAGAGTGTTTTGAAATGTTTCACATTCCCTTTTTTTTTGCATAGACACCACATACAGTTCCAGACAGAAGTGTGAATGCATTTATCATGGGCACTAATACACTTTTATTAGAGAAATTAATAACCAGTTTGAATTGGGGTTTTCCTCCGTTGTTGATGGTTAATCCAACATGTTAACTTAATACTTATACTACCTAATAGTGCAGATGCTTGAATTTCTACAGACTCATCCCTTCCTCATTATCAATGCAGGTTGGTCCAAAACAGGTTAAAGCTAAGCATTTATTGGGGTGATTTGCCATTAAAAAGGTTTTCACCTAAAATCATCAAATCACCTATGTCTTCTATAAGGTCGATTTTAATGTTTGCTTTGTCCATTCCAGTCCAATTCATTCCTTTCATTCATCTAGCTGCTAATTTAAGATCACCTTGGAGGATTCTGAAAGCAATCCTCCATCTTTGTTATTTCACCCACTTTTTAGAATGCAATAGCACCACACTGACAGAAAAACAAGTTCCCCCAGAATGATGCTGCCACTACCATGTTTGACAGAAGCTATGATGGGCTCACATTTGAGAGCTCAAACTTTCCTCCTTCAAACAAGCCTGTTTTTGTTTTTTTTTTTTTTTTTTTTTGCCAAAAAGCTTAAACATGTCCCTATATTTGCCCTGTGTCACTTAGAGAAAANTTGCTTTTTCTCTCTTTTTGAGTGTGCTGAAACTTTTAAACTTATTGACTCAGATTTTTCATATGATACCATATTCTTTTTTTTTTTTTTTTTTTTTTATTTTTTTTTTTTTTTTTTTTTTTGCCAAAAAGCTTAAACATGTCCCTATATTTGCCCTGTGTCACTTAGAGAAAATCCCCAATTTCCCAAGTTGTATGTTTAATAATCGATCCACTCAGCAGATAGGATGATAATGGCTTATATTCAACAATACACCCCTTTAAACCCTCATAATAGCATGGCCCATGAGGAGCATATGTAAGCCTCTGACCAGAACTGCATTTACCTCACATCAATGGTTTATAATATAATCAGACTGGAAGGTATCAACAACCTCAATTAGAGGCTATTGGTTAAAAAAAAACTTAATCAAAATAAACAAGTGGCTCAGTCTTAAGAATCAAGATAACACAGGTGTAGGCCGGTGTTTTCTCCTGATTATATCAAGCTTTTGCTGAAGTGCAGTCAGGTTCTGTCTTTTCTAAATCAACTTTCCCCTCAAGTCATTTAGTCCCAATAAGCTAAAAAAGGAACGCACAAAGTTTTTGTAACGTTACAGAGAAGCCTCGAACAGGATGCAGCTGACGGAAAAAAAAAGTAGAACATCTATGACTTCTATGCTCTGCAAAGCACTGGCAGTTTAGGATTACAGGAGGGGATTATGCACATTCACGACGGACAGAGAGGCAACAGTGACGCACTACACAAGAATTACAAAAGCCCTCCTAACCTTCCATTTCTTTCACCGATCCGTTTTACCTCCCCATCTTCAAACATCTGCAAAGATCTTTGTTTTTTTACATTGTAGTGCTGAAGATTTATGCTCACCATGGCAGGTTTTCATTCACTGGATTTAATAAGTGGGCACTTATTTCAGGGTTCCTACACAAGACATTTTCCAGAATCAAATTTCCAAATCCCTCAACTGCAATTTAGGCCATTTCTGGCATGTAGGTAAGAAGCTAAGCATAAAGCTCCATAGACCGATTTTAAAAATGCAATATAATCATTTAGCATGAAAAAAAACAAAAAAATCCAAAACTATCATCCACAATCCACAAGAAGCTGTGCTGAGAAAGGGCTAAACAATGTTTAACCGCGGGGTTAAGGTAGTACATGTTCCAGAAACTGATATATTAGGGCCTCATGAACAAAGACTGGAGTTGCACACACCACTACTGCCAACTAACGCAGTAGTGCAAAGCAACGGTGAAGCTGAAGCATTTCAAACCTTATATATTTGCTAACTCACATAGCTACTTTAAACAAGGGTGCAATCGGGGGGGCTTGGTGGAAATCTGAAAGTGAAGATCAGCCAGCAACAAAACAGGAAGTCTCCTACCTGACCTATTAACTAGTAGCTATTAGAGTAATACTACCAGTGTCTCCCTGCTGCAAATCAGCTTGTGCTCCTCAACGCTAAGTTGGGTCATCTTGCTAAAATGCTGGTGAGCCATGTTTGTGCGCTAAATATAATTTGTAATCTTAGTTAAATGGTTTCCTGTTACCATAATCCTGTGGTGGTGCTACAATAGAGATGTGTGTTCAGGCTGAATTTGATACATCTGACTTAAAATGGGTAATTTTATTTCACACGTCTGCCGCAAACTTCAATCTGAATCCCCACTGTTGCTAAGCACCCCTATACGGTCAGAGGATGCACAGCTCCTAATGACGACGAGAAATCTAACAGGACTTTCTTTAAAGCTTGAAGCATCTACTTCATCGTCTTCAACTAGATATCCTTTTGGTGTCTAAATGCTCTCCTTGAACAATGCCATTCCTGATTTCCTCCAAGAGCATTTATGATCACAAATAACAGGTTGGGTCATTTTTTTGTCGGAGGTAATTTTCTGTTATGCAAGTAAGTCATTTCACAGCATGTCACCATCAAACTGGTAACCATGGAAACATGTAATGCAGGCATGAGGGAACGGTGCTGATGTCCACAATCTAAATCCCTTCATGTAAAAGGAAAGGAGCCATGTTTTTTTTTTGTTTTTTTGCTGCATGGGCCCTTTATCTCTGTGTCCATGTTTGTGGAAGCTTTCTACTTGAGAAGTTATTTATCTTCAGACGACCTTTAATTATGCAGAGCTTGTTGTGTCTGAAGATCAATCTGTTAGCTTATTATTTTCAAGAAATAAAGGCGTTAAGCTCTTATTTTATTGCACAGTTAGAACAACTAAACAGTCATTAGTTTTTTGTTTTTTATAAAAAGAAAGCCCCATCTAGACTGTTTAAGCTTAATTTTTTCATTTTATTGAGTCAAATAGCTTGTTCTCTTTTATATTGTTATTTTCTGAAAAAATTATATTTCAAGCGTTTTTTGGTGTTAACAGGAGTTCGATAATTACCTTAATCACTCGCCAACTTAGTTGGATCCATGTGTTGGAGCAACACATGGATAACAATATTTTCATATCTTTTTTTAATCAGTACTTATTAAACAACGAAAGAAAATGGCCAGCTTTTTAAGACTGTGTAGGAACCCTGTTATTTGTATTAACTAGCAGTTTTCTTTGGTTGCAAATGGCAACATTTTTAGAAATAAGACATTTTCCTAATTTTTCCTTATTTTTGTGAATTTTTCAGCCCTGCAAACTCCTTGTTAAATTATGTTGAAATAAGAAAGACATTAAATAAAGACTAGAGTAATAGAAAGTAGCTAACCAAACGTCTGAGCCATGTAAAAGTTTAATTGTATGGAAGCAGTTTGCTTTAGTAATCAGAGCTGCATGTAGTGTTATGGAATCACCTTTTTAAATCGGAGCACCAGGGATTCCTCAGTCACGATAAAGGCAATGAAATTCCCTAGCCAAGCGAGGTTAAACTTAAAGTTAGACTTGAAAACGGTTCAAGTGTTTCCAAAATCCCTCTGAGGATATAGGGTATTGATTCATGTAATTTGTGCATTTTAGAAGAAAGAACACAAAAGGGGTAAAAAAAACAAAGGGAAATGGATTAACCTAGTGCGCTTATTTTACAGTGTTTGATTGGGAAAAGAACAAAAACAAAATACAGATGAAAAGGACAAATAAACAAGTAGGAATGGCAACAAATTTGGGCTCCTGCTTAGAAAAGGGAAACTGTCACTTCATGAAATGTCTTCCCAGAATAATCGGTGTAAATTATATTTACTTGGTGGCACTTGAACCTGGAGCTCACGCTACAACATCGAGGCTCTCCGAGCGAAAGTGGCGGATTTATTTCATAGCTGGAGCTTTTCAAACTGTGCCTTCCCCATTTAAACCTCGTCTCTGAAACGTGTCGATCCTTCTCTCTAAAACGTACACCTGTACAGCTGTCGGAAGATTATATAAACACACTATACATTTTTAATGTTGTTTTTTTTTTTGGACGTTTCAGTGTCTTATTTTTTTTTTTTTTTGGCAAGCTTTCGCCTAAAATGAAAACACCACTCATCTATTAAAACTCTGATGTGGCCAAGAGTAAGAAAGAGAGGTTACAGAAATCATAAATTATTTGGAGTGTCAGCACATAAAAAGTTAAGAGCTAAAAATGGTGGATGAAGTGCCACCTCACTACTTCCTGACTCAAGGTCAGAGGTCCTGTTTTAGCCAGGAACAGAAAGTCATGGTCAGGTCTGGGCACAAAATAAATGCAAAAAAGTCTGAGAAATGTACAAGTACGGTAGCAGCTAGCCTGCTCGCTTTTGCCACTATAAAATGCAGCACCTCTCTCTAATTCTTTTAGCCAAACTTTTGCTTTTCTTTTTCCCGTTCTTCTCTTTGCTGTCCTCCATTTTTCTTGCTCGGATCTCTCTCATCAGGTCGAAAAACACCTGGAAGCAAACCCAAGACAAACACAAAGTTACAAATTTATCTCCTTCAACTATGAGCTTGTTTGGCCAGCAGGGGGTGACAAACCTTATCCACATTGGCACGGGTTTTGGCAGAGGTCTCCACGTAGCACACCCCCCATTGCTCAGCGCGTGCCTTCGCTTCGTCCGCGCTAACCTGCCGCCGGTCGTCCAAGTCTGATTTGTTACCAACCAAGAGGAAGGGAACGTTCTCATCCTCCTTCACTCGAAGAATCTGCTCTCTGCAAAACAGCCGTGGAACAGGTACAGCTCCAATATACTTCTAATAAGACCTGTTTGTTAAATTAATCAGTTAATTAAGGCCTTAGACAATCAATCGGATTATTTAAATAATTGTCACCTAATTTAGTAATCGGTTAATTATTAACTGGCACTATAGGGACTGGGGACTGTAAAACATGCAGCAGTTATACCAAAATTAGTAAAAAAAATAAAAATAAATTATATATATATATATATATATATATATATATATATATATATATATATATATATATAAATATATAAAACAGGAAAAGTTTTACCTGGTTTAATTTTGTAAAAAAAAAATCTTCTTTAACGAACCTTTGGCTATCCGATTATAATTTGAAAAAAATAATGAACAGATTAATTGATTTGCAAAATAATCTTTAGATACAGCCCTAAATTAATTATTACCTCCTTAAGACAGGGAGTTAATATTCTTTCCATTAAGCCTGCACTACTGGATGATTTCTAAAGCCCTATTTAATATTTTTTTACTTTACTGAAAATAAAGAATCCTCAAAATCAAAAAGGCATAAAGACACCAGTCTATTAGTAAACATGTTTAAAATGTGTTTCAATAAAAGAACGAAGTCATGAAATAAGACATTTCAATTATATTGTGATTAATAAAAAAATCCTAAAAATCTGTATAAACTCATAAAAACTAAATATTTACTATTTGACTATTTGCCAAAATATCAGGAATTGTGATTTTAGTTTGACTAGAAAGGCAGAAATACTCCTCTGACCCATTTTTCTCATATCTTGGATAAATAACCTATTATAAACCTTTTAATTTGCCATCATTTATTTCTAAGATGGCTCATATTAATTTCCTTATGGTGGGATGGATGCTTGTTATTAAAATCAGGGCTGTTTTGGGGTTTCTATGAACATCAATGATGAGCTAATCTATTTTCTTTGCCTTTGATGTTCTGTATTACTCTGGTTGTTTCTGGAATCTTGTTAGACATTTGTCTAAATATTACCTTTCAGACTGACATTTTTCAAAACAAATAAAAAAAAATAATAATACCCTTAATTCAAACCAATCTCCCCCTGTGTTTATGATTACATTAAAAATAATGACTTATTTGTCCAACTAAACTACCAGTAAATCATTAACTTTTACTGACATGACAGCTGGTGCAGCAGCTCAAAGGGTGTTTCCTGTTGTCTGATGGACTTTTATATGCATCGCTCCTCTGTGTTCTTTGATTATATGCAGATTTATCTCTTCTATTATTATTATTAATATATAGAGAAGATGCCTTGTAACCTGGTCCTGTTTTGGCACCATTTGTAACAGTTAAAAGTGGTAGTTTGATTTCAATACATTCTTGCGTACCTAAAGTCAACTGTTGCTGCAAAGGACTCCAGCTCTGTGATGGAAAACACGCAGAGGAAACCCTCGCCACTGCGGAAGTAGTTATCCCGAATGGCTGCGTAGTCCTCTTGGCCGGCTGTGTCAAGGATGTCTATCTGCACCTCCTCTCCATCCAGCACCACTTTCTTCCTGTAACTGTCGGCTTTAGTCGGCTCGTAGTCTTCAACAAACTGGAAGAAAAAGTCATTCCCCCACTGATTACGGCTGCAGGAATTGTGGGAAATTTTGCATGACCGCTACTAAGCGAGACCCTCACCTCGTCATACATGAACTGCAGAGTGAGGGCTGATTTCCCCACGCCTCCACTGCCCACCATGATCACTTTGTGGAGGGCCAGAGAGTTCTGTCCTTTGGGTTTCGCAGCGGCCATGGCTCCGTGTAGACGCACGCGCCAGGAGGTGAAAGGTCAAGGCAGACGGTGGGTGGGACTCTGGAACAAAGATCGTAAAAGAATTCCAGGAGCCGCTAAGTGCAGAGTGATAACCCTGTAAAAGTAAAGAGATAGAAGGGAAAAATAAGGACGTAGTTGTATCATAGTTTCCACAGCCTCTTTGTTCCACATCTGCAGGTAGATCGCTTAGCCAGGAGAGAGTGATGCTACACTATAAATGAGCTGCAGAGGGAAAATTGGTTAGATGGACCCAGACAGATACATTACAAACGTTTTTCATCTTGTTCACATTTTATTCCCCTTCTGCAGCTATTCTGCTTTCCTTTTGTGTCTTTTAAATGATTTGATTTAATTCTAAAGGTCTCTCTTTTATCATTCAATTAAATATTTAAATTAAAAGAAATAGCTGTTTATTCTGTTTTTCTGCAAATGTATTTCCTTTCAACTTTTTTCACTCAACAACCATGAACTCTACTGTATTTTATTGGGATCTGACGCAAATGTAGTGCAAGACCATCACAAAGTAGTGCAAGATCACAGAGTGAAAGGAAAAGGAAACAAGCTTTTCTATTTCTTCTTAAATAAAACCCAGAAATGGTTTCCCGCGTTTGTGCTCAGCTGTGACAACATATTCATTACTTTGCAGAAGCACCTTTCCCTGCAATTTTAGCGTAACATCTTTTAGGCTAGGTCCCTACCATCACTGCATACTACAGTAGAAACTGAAACGTTTCCCCGATTTCTCTCTTCAGAAAAATGGGTCAAGCACATTCAGACTGCATGGAAAGCTACTGTGACATTCAATTCTATGTCTCGTCACAGATACTTAAATGGATTTATGTCTGCACTTTAACAACCCGTTCTAACACTGAGCCAAGATTAAACCATTAAAGAGCTACATTCAGCTGGAGCTTGGGTTGTATGAAGGTGAACCTCAGCCTCACATATAAATGTCGTGTGACCTTAAACAAAGATTTTTGCCAGGATTCCTCAGTGCTCAGCTACATCCGTCACAGCTTCCTCTATCACCGCTGAAGAAAAGCCATCCTGTGCCATGATACTGCCAACACCATGTTCCACAGTGGAGATGTGTATGCACTGTGCAGTGTTTGTTTTCCAACCATGCAGGGCATTTTGAATATAGGCAAAAATGTAAAAGTAAGGGCCTTCTAGGACAAGTTCTACATATGGCTTCCTTCCTATGATGGCATTGTTCCAACCAATCTTCCATAAAAGGGTAAATCGGTGGAGAGTTGTCTTATCTAAAGATTCTTCCCACCCTTGCTGTGAATCTCTCTTGTTCACTTGTTCTTGTTTAAGCTCTACTTGCTATGCCTGTTAGTGCAAATACACGGCTATGTGTAGGTGTGTTTACAGTTGTGTCATACACTTTTGCTTTTCGGATGATGAACTGAGCAGCACCCTGTGGATTATACAGTAATTTGGATTTTGTTTTGTAACCTCACCCTGCTTTAAACTTCTCAACTTTATTCGCGACCTTTCTGCTTTGTTCCGCTGCTCTTTTTGATCACCTACATTCTCTAACAAACCTTCAAAGGACAGCTGGCTGTCAAGTGAGATTAAATTTCACACAGGTAAACTCTACTTACAAGTTAGGTGACTTTACGTTAGGGTTGGATTTCTTTTATGTACAGCTTGGTGTTGCTCCATTACATGAAATCTATACAACAAGCATTAAAGTACTTGGTTGTAACATAATTAAACATCAACAAGTCCAAGAAGTATGGCTACCTATAGCTTATAACAAGCAGAAAAAGTCAGAGTTTCAAAGCACGCAGCAGTCACAGTGCAGAGTTAAGATTCAATGCAAAAGAGTCTCTTTATGCAAACGAGAGCAAGGCTGAAAAGCAATGGCTATGATTTACAAGGGTTCAATAGAGATTTGTTGAAAATATAGAGAATTTATAATTCTTAAATTAAAACTAAAGCCGAATCGAGGTGAAATGATAATCCAAGACCGTCTTCTTTAAGAATAAGAGAAAAAATAACATCACTGCCTTAACTTACATTAATTATAACAATAAGTGGATCAACATTCAATTTTCTGACTGCAGCTAAATGTCCAAAACTGTTTGTTTTTAGTATCCTTCAACTTTGCTAGTGTTCTCCTTTGAGACAATACAAGATCTTTGTATTATATTTGTTACAAAAGGTTTTGTTTTATTCCTCATCAACATATGGTGGTATGATAGAGTCATAAGTGACACATTGCTACATCTATTCAGCGGTCAGAATGAATCTAGGAGGATTTTAGAGGAAGCAGGATGTATAGAAAGAGTGGGTGGAGGCCATTTCCATCCACAGGCCAAGGCAGACCACTTGGAAAGTAGGATTATATATGGGATTTCTGCCAATACTTCATTAGACAAATTAAGTCATTTGCCAAGTCAGCTGTCAGTCAACGTAACGAATTAGCACTTAAATGTAGTGCTTACCTGCTATTTCATATGGAAACTGTAAACACCTCTTAGTTTAACTATTCCCATTCCGCAAGAGTTTATGTATTTCAACATTTAATGCATCTTTACTTTTTCAACGACCATATATTATCGAAATTATTACAATATTCAGCTAAAGAACGAGTAGGAGTAATAAGTTAGCATTAAAACAGCAGTGCCTGCTAACTTAGCAGGCTAAATGTTCTGTAAACTAATAAATCACTGTATTAGCATAGGTATAAATAACTCAAATAAGCCCATTAACAGATCTATGTATCTATTTTACATTGTAAATGTTTTAAATCCAAGCCTTCAGGCTGTTCCAGTGAGCGATGTGGCTAATAAGCGAGCAGCTACTCAAAGCAGGTAAACACGTCACCTGACGTTTTAATTAACAGCTGGAGGAGCTCAGGCTAAAAGCGGCTTTGAAACGCCCTTAAAAATTAAACCTTTAACATCCTGACCCAGCAACAGATGCCTTCAACACCGAGATGCTACGATAATAGCAGAGGCAGCTAGCAGCAAACGGTCGGTTACCCAGCAGCTAATCACAACTAACAGGAGAAAAAAAGGAGTAGACGGTTAAACAAGGTGGGGTGGTTTTTCTGTTGATGGATAACATACCTGTGAGTTAAATGGTTCCCTTGGGCAGAAAGATAGAGTAGAGCTGAGAGAGGGAAGGCTAAATAAAAACACTCGGCTTGGTGTGCCTGTTAGCTCATGGCTAGCTCGGTGGCTAACTCCAGGGACTGTGGCGGTAGCTGTTAGCAGCGGACTGGATGGACGTCCTGTGGGCTTGGCTCTGGCTGACAACGCCCGCCCGCCAGGGACACCCTAGCTGCGCTGTTTTTATTTTAAAAAAATGATAATGATGTATGGATTAGTACGGAAGAGAATTGAGGCCACTGAAAAAAAAAAAAAAAAAAGTTAACTGATTTTTATTTATTTTTTATTATTTTGTTATTATATGTGGGGAAAAAAGTCAGATCTCTGAGATTTAACTCAGAACTCTGAGATTAAAGTACAGAAGAGAATTAGGGCTGATTTTTTATATAATTTTTTGTTTCATATATATAGGGAAAAAGTCAGAACTCTGAGATTAAAGTCTGAACTAAAGTACAGAAGAGAATTGGGGCCACTGAAAAAATAAAAAAAAATGAGCAGATTTTTTTTTTTTTTTTTTTGTTTCATATATATAATATGTATATTATAGGGAAAAAAGTCAGAACTCTGAGATCAAAGTCAGAACTCTGAGATTAAAGGTAGAACTCTGAGATTAAATTCTGAACTAAAGTACAGGAGGGAATTGGGCCACTGGGAAAAAAACAAAATGAGCTGATATTTTTTATAATTTTTTTGTTTCAAATATATATATAATATGTATAATATAGGGGGAAAAGTCAGAACTCTGAGATTAAAGTCAGAACTAATGTACGGAAGAGAATTGAGGCCACTGGAAAAAAAAATATTTTTTTTATCTTATTTCAGTATAATATGCAGAAAAAAAGTCAGAACTCTGAGATTAAAGTCAGAATTCTGACCATGAAGGAAGAGACGTGTACAGAAGAGGATTGGGATTGGGGCCACTGAAAAAATGAAAGAAAATTAACTGATTTTTAAATTTTATTTCAGTATAATATGGGAAAAGTCAGAATTCTGACCTTTTCCCATATTATGCTGAAGTAAAATTTAAAAATTAGTTTTATTTTCTCAGTGGCCCTAGTCCTCTTCTGTACTAAACAGTTGGAAGATGCATCCGGCAAATCTGCATAAATTGGGAAACGTTTAAAGGGAAAAAGGAAATTAACAAGCCCCATGCTTTGAGGCAGAAACATGTAGAAAACAGTTTTTAGTGTTTTAATATGTAAAACATTTTTTAAAAAGTCATGTCCTCATTCATATGTTAACATAAGAAAAAAGACTAATATAAACCAACAAGTCTGAACTATTTTTGCAGTGAAACGGGTCTAAAGTTCTTGAGATCAGACATCTGAATCCAACAAACGGGTACAGTGTCTTTGTCTGCCTTTAGTAGTATTAAAGTTTTTGGTCTTTTGAATAATTAACTTTATGTGCAGTTAATGAAACTCAAGAACCAAAATGGATCAAATGTTGAATAATGTTAGTAATTTTGCTTTGTCTCAAAAGAGAAGTGCAATGGAGCAGATTTCAAGAATTGCTGGAAACTGAGAGAATGTGACAAAGGATCAGCTGATGGCTGCATTCCTCTTCCAAAGCACAAAACCACCTGTGTGCAGGATCTTCCCATTGGTGAATCTAAATTATGAGGGGGAAAAAAGTGATGCTGCTGACAGGAAAATGCCTTAAAATCTACTAAACTAAAAAGAAGTATGACAAAAAAGCTCCTCCAATTAAGTGCATTGAGAACTATTTTAACATGACCAAGATTTTCAGATGTTTTGCGCTTTGACTGTTCCTGTGTTTAAGTGTTTTCTTTAGTGACCAGAATTAAATGGAAAATGGACTTTGATTCCAGTATGGCACATTTTTACGTCAGGAGATGTCTTGGCCAAGGACACAATGAATGAGAGTAGGGGTTCAAACCAGCAACCCTAATTGCATGGATGAACAAACTGCATCATCGATCTTATCAATAGCAATAAAGGCTAGTAATCTATTTCGCTTTATGCCTTGTTTTTAAGTTGCTCTGTAACTTGAGTAGGGCTGCAACTAACAATCATTTTGCAAATCGATTAATCTGTCAATTATTATTATTTTTAATCAATAATTGAATAGCCAAAAATTACTTAAAGAAGACCTTTTACGAAGTTAAACCAGGTGAAACTCAAACTTTTCTAATGGTGGAGTTCTGGATAGAGCATATTGACAGACACATATATATATATATTTTTTTTATCTTAAATATAATCTTGGTATAATTACTGCTCTAAGTGGGTCGTGCTGTCAGCTCAAGGCATGTTTTAGAGTCTTTACACTGCAGTTAACGATTAATCGATTGCTAAATTAGTGGACTATTATTTCAATAATCGATTATTCACAATTCATACGATTGTTTCAGCCCTAATATGGAACAAATCTGATCTACAGCTCATCAGAAGTTCTCATAACGTTTCTTGTTATTACAAAGTCAGGGTTCCATATAATTTTATTTTTGTGTCGGTTCTTTATTTGGTTAAATGTCCCATTGGAGTATTGACTGCAAGTCACCTTTGGATAATTCTTTGTTTTATAACATACCAAAATAAAAATAAAAAATCCATAATGGTCGTGCTTGTATTTAGGGAAATGACTGTAATAAAAATGTGTCTGGAAACGCCACAAGATTCGCTGAATAGTGTTATGGCGAAAAGGGGTGCCTGGGTTACCCTTGCCTGATCTCTTCCCACTGAGACAATTTTGGGTAATCGGATGAGATGAAGAGGGAAATATTTAACTATGAGTGATATGTTAAAATATTGAAATATTTCTATCACCAGACCAAACCCCCCTTCATTTGTTGCATTGTTGCTTGGACAGAGGAAGTCTAGGCTTGAAGTAAAACATGTAACTCTGAAGCTCCATAAGTGGCAATTTACTGCAAAGATGAAAATGTGGAAAATTTGCCATTTGAAAACTGATGTTTCCTTTTTTTGTTTTTCTTTTTAGTAATGAAAGAAAATACAAGAATTTCTAACTTGCATTGCAAGTTTGCAGAGAAGAGTTGGAATGACACATTTCAGCTTGTCCGACGCTGCATGGTAAGACATTTGGAACAAACCTTTTGGTCTTTAATTACACATCCATCCCAAAGGAGAGAAGATCCTGCCTTATGGTTTTGTTGAGTCATTTTGGGATGGGTTCTTTAAGAATCCAATGTGATGACTCAGGAACTGGTGTGTGGCGATGCACTGCTATTAGATCATCCCTAGTGGGATACTTGAGTCTTTGTTCGATTCCCACTATAGGAACTGATGTGCTTCTAATCTTATCCTCACTTACAAGCTACATTAGAACAGGAAGTTGTCTATAAAGCTTAAAATAAATCCATCTTTTTATAGCAGAAGGATATGAGGTTTGACATTTTATTTTAGTACATTTATTCAATTAAAAAATAAAAACTTAACGAGATATCAAAATGCATTCACAAAACTGACCAAGCTGAACTTATTGTTGCTCTTACTTTTAATCATTTTAATTTTTTAGATGCATGTGACACGTTCAGTCTGTCAAAGTTTCAAGAAAGCTTCGTAATCTGAGGTTTTCTGTTTTAATGATGTATAAATTGAAATGACACAGAAGCTTATTTTTAAAATGGAAAATATGAGAGAGCATGTTATTGAGGTATGATGGCTGTGTGTTAATGTTCAGAGGAAATGACCACAATAAAAGCAGTTTCTGCCAATGCTTGTGCAGAACAATCGTGAGAAAATGGGTTGGAAAATTACTTTAACTTTCCAATTAACCTTTCTGAGGAAGGGGTTTGATACAGAGGGAGAAATGTCTAAAGCTCTGTATTGCATTAGAGCCCTAAAAAAGCCCTCAACTAAGGTGGAGGTTCAATGATACTGTGGGACTGTTTCTCTCCTAAAGCTGTTTGGAACCCACATAACATTAGGAAATCATTAGATCAAACAAGGAGATACTTCAAACTGTAAAGGTTAGTTCACTTAGTTTGTTTACTATATACAACTTTGACCATCTCAGTCCAAAGACCTAAAAAATAAAAATTGAAAATTGGGGAGGAGCTGAAAAGGGCATGATTGAGGTGCAGGACTGATAACTTGTCAAAACAAGCATTTCTTTTTCTATGTTCCATCAATTCCATATAAATGTTCAGAATTTTTTTTTTTTTTTTTTGCAAAGTAAGCAATTAATTGGTGTGAAGGTTTTTATTTAGAGGTTTCAGCCTGCTTTGGTTTAAATTGAACACAAAGCTAACTTGCGTGCAGAGACTCTGGGAGATGGAAGAGTTTCAGTTTTCTTTAGATTTTTCACGGGGGGAGATCCAGAGAAGATAATGCTTGTGGATTGATTTAAAGTGGAGCTTGGCTGGGGTCAGTCTGGTAAGGCAATCTTGATTACTTGGTGGTCTAAAGTAATGTGTGGTCCAAAGTGGTAATGCAGATGGCGTTAATTAAAAAGCTCCCTGTCGCAATGATCATGACGGAATTAGATTCTCAAAGCAAAGGATGAACAGTCAATATATATTTGCCCACCGGTTAAAACGGTGTGTAACAGATCCTTAGTGTCAATATTGCCCTAGCTGTGGTGTCACGCAGCTCGTGTTCGTTGATGGGATGGGCAGGCGGCACTAAAGTGTTGACACAAGCCTCCCACTGCTGCACAACAGGTCCTTTGTTGGGGTTTTTTCACTCTCCTCTGTCCCACAATAGGAGATTTCCAGGGATGAATCCAAACCTTGTGAGCCACTTGTGAGATCTTTGGAGCGACTCCAAGAAGAGTTTCAGGGTAAACCAATATTCCAATCATTTATTTTTCTGCATCCTAATGCAATAATGTTCTAAATGATTCTTAATGTTTCAGCACCCTATATGAACAACATAAAATCCCGATTGGAGATTATCGCCAGACAACAAGGGTAAACAGTTGTGTCTTTTATATGTCCTGTATATGACTTTACTTTTTCTACCGCTTGGTAGAAGATTTTAACTGCAGAAGGGGAAGAGCCACATGATATAAAGCCTCGACAGACTCAACTGTCTTAATCTTTTACCCAAATACAAATAAATGTTCTTTGTAGGGATAAAAGTAAAATCAGAAAGTATTTTATTAAGATTGTCAAAGACTTACAGCTTTAAACCAATGTGGAGTTTGTGGTTATAAAATGACAGAATTTTGAAAAACTGAGGAATTATTTTGGTAGGCATAAGGTTTAAAGAAGTCCAGACAGCGCCACCTATGGAGCAACTTTACTGCTAACTTCTCTGACATGGAAAGGATTTATAGACAGTGCTTCTATGTTCCTTTTTTTCCTGCTTCTCTCTCATTGAACTCCCATTCAGCTTCATCAGACTGAGCCTGGTTCTGCCGTTGGCTTCTTCCTGTTTAAAGGGAGGTTTTCCTCTCCACTGTCCCTTCATGCATGAAAGCAAGCGAATGTTTGCCATCTTGACATGCTAATCCAGGAAGAAAGAATCCTGCAAAGTCAATGACTAGATTAAATCAGTTGGTTTTCCTAGGAAAACTTTAAACCAATCTGTATGATCTGTGTTTTTTGGCGCTATATAATTAAACGGGATTGAAGTGAAACTTATGCTTAACAAATTGTAGAAATATTACCTCAGTAATTTGATTTGTTGCTGAAAACATTTATGTAATGGATAGAGCTGCAACTAATTATTATTTTGCTAACTGATTCATCTGTTGGTTATTTTTCTGATTATGAAATTAAGCAGAGTTCTGGATGAAACGTTGAAAGACAAAGTTTTTTTTTTTTTTTTTTATGAAAATGTTTGTATATTTTTATTTTATCATTTTGGTTTATATGCTGCTCTGAGGATTCCAGTTCTCTGTTGTGGATGCCCACACTCATTATCATACGTATCTTTATTTGTCCTTTAGGATGGGTTTTCACTTCGCTGACGCCACCTGCTACCTGACAGCCGACTTATTTTACCTGGAGGTGTTGCTGCTGCCATCTGGTGAGGTGCAGGAGGTAAAGGTGGCCACACATGGAGAACATCCTGTTGTAAGCAGACCATGGCCATCTGGCAATATGAAGCAACTCCTCCTGTTTGATTTCTTTTCCCTAATGAGCTGAAACCATCTTGCAGCCCAGTGTCTCACTTTTGCATCTCCTCGGGTAAAAGAGGAAAACAATTCAGTCCATTTCTTACAAATGTAATGTACACATAAATGTTAATTCTCTTTTTTGTATGTGTGTGTCAACATTTTAAAGGTCCAATAACTTTGATGATTTCTCCATACGATTGGGAGAATTGTTTGCCCAATACAATATTCCAGGAGACAAGTAGGTACCTCTTAATCTTTCTTGATTCATTTTTAAAATCTGAGTCTCTTTTTATTTGGACTATCTTGTCTCCTTTTTATAGTGAAACCAAATCCAAACTGTTAACATCTCTAAAATATCTTTGGAAAGACCTTCAGCAAATCTCGGAAATGCCAAAGTAAGTTAAAAAAAAAAAAAAAAAAAAAAAAAAAACAGGCTGCACAGAACTGAACCTTTTCCTAATATCTTTAATGGTAGTGATCAGTTGATGGGCGGTGACCTTCAGTTATCTACATTCCTGGTTAAGCAATGGAAACAAACAAATGAAAAGAATCCACACTTAATTTAAGTGTGCCATTAATGCTGGTAAATGTTTCCAGGGACTAGGAGATTCAAAAGCCCACAGCATTACAGATCCTCCACTTTGTATAGTGGTACGCATCTTTTCCACATATTTATTTTTGTTTCATACCAGACTCTTCTAAAGCTGGCTGTTTTAAAACCTAACCTTGGTCTCATCTGACTGAAGCTCAAGGTTAGAGTTGAAGTTCCACAGAAATGGACTAAATTCAAAAGGCTAATATGTAGATGATATTAGCTAGTTTGACCATCCTCCTTACAATATGCAGTGTCTTTATTAACTTAAGTCCTCTTTAGCTTGTTTGTCAGGACTCCAGCTGTTGAACTCTCCATTTATGGCTTGTTAAGGGTTGTATTTTTCTTTTAGTGATTCAGAGGGCTGTGAAACCCAAATGGACGTAATAAACAGTGGGAGGGTTGGCTTGTTAATGGCAGGAAAGCAAGGTATAAGTTTGAATCTTAACAGGATCAAAGGCTTGCTTTTTTGTTTCAGTCCCTGACCTTATTACATTCTTAATTTCAGATTATCCTCAGTCTCTGTACTTCTATACCCATCCAAATGATGGCCCAAAGAACTCTGATTTGTGTAAGGTGCTTATTTTTTGACTCATGATTTAAAGTTTGATCATGCAACAGATTCAAAGTGTCAACTTTGTTTTATTTTCTAGCGTTTGAGGAGTTGTTAGAGTTCAAACCAGCTGTCCAGGCAGCCCAAGTTACAATGGGTGTCAGTGATTTGAGCCACAAGCTTCAGATGACGTCTTTAATCTCACAACCGCCTCAGCTGGATGATCAGCGGTCCGTACCGTATTGTTTTACCCCAATTTCAGCATGGTGTGAAAATGCCAGCTGCTGGTGCTAACAGTAAAACTGTGTCTTTGAGCCAGTTGTCCCGTCTTCTTTCCACTCGGTGATGTGATCAATGAGATGCTGCCTGCATGTTTCCTGCTCCGACTGAAGCCACCAATACCTTTGCTCTCTTCTTTTATTGAGAGAGTTGGACAAATAACAGGCTAGGCATTTTTTTACTAAATACAATCAAAGTTTGCATTTTTATTTTTCCACTAAGGAAAACACTAATTCCACTGTTTCTCTAGATGTGCCTGTACCAGACTTGGACCTCCAGTGGGCGCCATTACCCAAGCTTCTGTTGAAAGGTTCTGCAAGTGCAAACGGCCAGTCTGGTCCATTAGAAGAACAGGAGATCTTTAGAGTGGTATCAGCACGCTTTTAGCTTCAATATCATCACTGAAAACATAATATAATTGACTCTTTGCTGAGAGAAAACTGGTACTTGTCTGTCCAGGTTTTGCCTGAAGGTGAAATACACACCTATATTCTACCTGAAGCTGCATGGGATGTTCCCACACAAAGAGCAGCTTTGCTGGACGGCGTTCCTTTCACCCACCCGGCTCATGTCTGCGCCATCTTGGAGCTGCTGCGTCACCAGTGTGCTTATAACACCCTGCTGAACAGCTGTTTCACTCCTCTGAGTACCTGTCCAGGTGGGCAAAGGTCAAGTGGTGGGATTATATCCAAAATGGAGGAAGTGATGATGAAAACGTATGATCTTATTACCTATGCAGTGTTTTGCTTTATTTCGATGAATCCCACCTCCAGGTTCTGTTTGTGATCTGTACTTTGAAGTCCGTCCTGAGTCCACGACCAGCATTTCTGTGACCTTCCACCACACTGACTCGCTGGCTGTTTGTAAGACTTTAATGAATTATCTGGAATATCAGTAGTTTAATTAGATTCAGTTATTTTCAGAATCAGAGTTTTTAAGCAGCTGGGAGAAAGAGAATTTTTAAGTGTCTTTTATGGCTGGATAAGAATAGTGAGGAAATTGAGTATGGAAAATATTTGAACTTCCTGCCTTTATTCCATATCGGTGGTTTCTGCACCTTCTTAAACTCTATCCTGTGAGATTTGTCATAAATTCATACTGAGCTTTGTATTTCTACTATAAACACACTTTAAGTAAAACATAATCAATTAAGCAAATTTTTCTAAAGGCAGTCGCGTAATTACATCAAATCTAGTGTAATACCAATTGACTGAATGTAAGTTAGAATGTCATTTTTACAAAAATATTGTGCAAGAACCCCATCTGTAGGTAAAACTTTATTTAAGGTCATAAGTTTAAAAAAAGGATTAACATTAGGCCATGCATCTGTTTTATGACTAACATAAAATAGATTCATTTGTGCGAAACTTTATCTGCAAAGCCAGTTGCATTCTGTACTGCTTTAGTTTTTATGTAAACTGTTAGAAACGCGGCCCTAGTTTTTAAAGTAAAAAATAACAAAACAAAGATTCAACTGAGAGTCAGGGTAACAGTCATGAAAAAGCTAGATTAAAAGCTTTCTGCATCTCTAAATGATCCTATCTCACAGATTAAGATGTAATCCTGGCAGCTGAATATTTCTGCCACATCAAAATAATTTTACCTAATTTGAATGAATCAAATACTGGACTAATTTTGGCTTTTAATCTTTAGTTCTTTTTCCTAATGCCTGTTAATTTCTAAGCATAAAAATGCCTGTATTCACGTTTTAATATCCTAATCCTCATGGCAGTTAAATGAACTTCCACTTTCTTTCCTGTCACCAGTGCTGGTCAACATATCGAATCCCCGTCAGATCACCTGCAAATTGTTTGGAGCAGGATTATCTGATCCTGCCCTCGATGAATACACCTCTACAGTTCTAATGAGGTGTGTTTCACTCATCCTTTGTAGGATTTGAAACTCATTTTGCTTTGCTTTCAGTTTGATTCCTTTCCTATCTCAGCTGCATGTCCATTCCTGCGACCATGAGGACATTATACAGCAGGCTCGAGGAAATCACCACTGCTCCACTTTCCACCAGCCACTCAGCCGCCACAGAAGCTGAAAATGACCACTTGAGTCCTGTGATGGACACCGATGGCCAGTTGCCTGCAGTCTCCCAAAGCGAAGCCATGCCAGAGGATAACAGCGTTCCCGGTTCAGCTTGCAGTACTGTATCTGTGGCTACATCTGAGCTGGAAATAAATGGCAGTATGCTTGTCAACCCTTACCCATTTGTTCCTGTGCATGTAATGGCAAACTGTCAGAGCTGATCTGAATGTAAAAGGAGTTTAGTGGCTGTTTAGGTCAAGCATTACTGGACTTTATTAAGAAACTGGATGGTGTGTAACAGTTTCAGGTGCTGATGGTTAAATCTGTCTCTCATTGCATTCCAGTGTGGGAGAAATGACTAGCTGTAAAGGTTTTTGAGGTCTGGCATTTGACCTCAGAAGGACATTTGGCAAGTTTCTTGTTACAAGTGAGCCAGTAAGACATGGTTTAAATGCAACTATAAGGGTTTATAAGAGAAAACGAATCTGACATTTTTGTTTTAGATTTAAGAAAATAAAAGAATAAAGGAACTTTGTTTGAAATACTTTTTGGTGAAAATAAAACTGGAAGAGTTTAATTACAGCTTGCTTTTTTTTCTGGACTCCTGCCAGGTCCTGTACAGATGGAGGACAAATGTCGATAGCCTGTGCATTAGAAGACGAAATATTTATACTACTGCATGCAGAGAAGTCGTTTTACAACTGCACCACATGTATATCTGGACACAAGCTGATAAACTGATTATTTTTAAACATGTCTTTAGAATATTTGATCCAACTGTCCACCGGAGACAACCGGCTTTGACTGTCTATACTTCTACATGTCCCCTGGCCTATGTGACTGCTATTCATGGGAGTGATCCAACAAGTGGAGTTAGAATCGCTCTCTTCTTTCAGAGTAACTGTGTCCCTGAAATATTTGAGAGCTTATGTGTGCTTTGTTTGGACTGGCAGAGGAAAAAATCTTTTGTTTTTAACTAGGATTTAGTGCAAAGATTGAGTCCATGGTGATCTATAATTCAAAAAGGAGAAAAACTAAAGACTTGTATCTAAAAGGTAAAATTTGTATCTGAATCAATTGGCATGATTTAGTTGAATATCTGACCATCTAGCAGAAGAGTTAAGGTAAATAAAGCCTTTGGAAGTAGTTCTTCTTTATGCCAATCGTATACTGTAATATACCAGTAACAAAGCAGCATATGGATTGTCCACGAGGACAGCTGCAAGATTCAGTCAAGCATTATTCACTTTTGAAGCAGGTGGTTCTTTCGTGGTTTGCAGCCTCTCGGCCCATGCTAATTTAAAACTTTACAATGAAGAGTCACACTAGTGTTCAGGGAACTTCCAATAAGAGGCAGGTTTGAAGGTTCTGATTATTGACGACCTCAACTGTTGACTGTTCAGATCAGACGGTTGAAACCTGGCACATTTTCTTTTATTTTCTACAATCCTGTTTCTTTACGCTGTATTGAATTTAATGGTAAATGAAATGTATGTAGTGTCTAGAGCACGTTTTCAAGTCAGGGGACTCTAAAGCGCTTTACATCTCTGTCACCTACTGACATGCATTCACACATTGATGGCACCTCTTTTAACTGAAGTGCACCAAATGCAGTGGGAACATCATGATCTGTTAACATTTGGGGTTCTAGAACCCTCTTCTTAAGTGTGGACCAGATTAGGGTGACAAACATACATGACTGCAATGCCAGAAGGGTCTGTGGTAAGCTGAGATATTTTTAGCTCTTTACCAAGAATTGGTATAGAATATAGGTAGATGAATAGTTTTAAGACCTAAAGAAACTGAATCTGTCAAGGTTTTTGTTGGTGGCATCATGCTAGGGTGTTTTGCTGCTGTACCTCTCCCGTATTTAAGAAGATGAGTAAAATAATTCAGATTTACCTTCAAAATATCCAGCTTGGTGTTAAAGTCTTTAACGGCTTGTTAGAGGGTCTAAAGACAAATTTAACCTGTTAAGCCCAGAGGGTTTTAGAAGTCATTTTTTATTATTTATTTTATTATTTTTTTATGTACCTCTCATTTATTTTAATGTATCTATATTTGATGTATCTTATGTAACTTTGCTGCCTCTTGGCCAGGACTCCCTTGAAAAAGAGGTTTTCAATCTCAATAGGATTTTTCCCCCCTGGATAAATGAAAGTTAAAACAAATTGTCTGAAAGTAGGCTATGTATATATAAATAAATAGATTAAACATAACTCCCAAACCTTTTTGTCCCCTAGTAAAATTTACACATTAAGGTTTTTTTTTTTTTTTTTTTTTTTTTTTTTTTTTACAATTCAGGGAACATTGCTAATATTTCTATATTTAAAGTATTTATGGTTAAGTAGGCCTAATTCCAAGCAGAGACTCTATGTTGGATTGGAGGTTTTAATCATTCACTAAATTTTGCATCAACATCCACCTGTAATGCAATGTGTTTTATCCTTTTTTTCATGCTTTTCGTGCTTCTTTTAGTAGAGGGGAACAAATTCTCCTTTAGCTGCAAAACTTTTGAATATTTGTTTTTTTTCTCTTGAGCTTAAGACACCCCTATGGCTTGTCGCCCTGGGCAGTAAGCCACATCACTCCCTCCACAGACATCTGTAAACTATTGGCCAGAGCTGCATGATATATTGAACTGTGATCATTTTATTTTAGTATCTGAGTCCCATTCTTGGCCTATTTTAAGAAAATCCTAAGGAGAAAAAAAAAAAAAAGGCCTCCTCTCCTTTCTTGGTCTGCGGTCTCTTTAAATCCAAAACTAGCGGACGGGATCTGCGCGTCCTCACAAAGCCTGTCTGGACTCTCCACTCATCCTGATAAACAGCTGCTTACCATTTAAGGGGAAACTTCTCAGAAAAGAAAAAAAGAAAAAAGCTTAGCCATGGACCTCCTCTTGGATCGGGACTTTTGTCTGTAGATGTTCGGATTCAGACTCTGCAAAACGCACCAAATCTGGACTTTACTTTTTTTGCGTAATGCCCAGCCGCCCTCGCTCCAACATCTGGATTAACTATTTGAAGTCGGAGCTAAGGATACTATTCTACACTGTGCACCAAACCTCAGCTTTAATGTAGCCTTCCTTCTGTGTGTTTAGCCTGATAACCCGAGCGCCTGCCCGTAGATTATGTATTCTTTAAAATGGGTGCGAACAATGGAAAACAGTATGGGAGCGAGGGTAAGTAAAGCAATCACTTCAAAACACGCTTTATTTTATTAGACTCAGAATCTCAGCTTATTTAGAGTGAAAATGTTATCCGCGCTTTAGTCTGATGGTAAACTATAATAGAACAATGACGCAGGGATGGCTGAGCTGGACCTTTTTCTCACATTTCCAAGCTCTTTCTGAACCTTTAACGTCTATTTTAGGACTTTCAACATTTTATTAAATCTCCCAGGAACACAGAGTGACATCTGCTGGTCATATCTACCCATTTTTAAATATAAAATGCCTTGAAATTTAAACTTCCTGTCTATAATCTTCCTGTCCTTATTTTGGCCCCTGTTAAAACTGCTTTAAACGTCTTTTTTTTTTCTCTCTTTTTTCCTGAGATCTGAGGACACAATAATTTTTTAGGTATTTTATCGTAACAAATGTCAGTTTCTGGGCTTGTCTTCTTAATCTCAGGATTTGGAAGCCATTTTGTGCATAATACTCAGGTCATAAAGTCTTTGTATGTAAATGCAAAATATTGTTTAGGTAATGTTTTAGGGAGTTAAATGGTTCCATTTATTTTTTGGTTGCTCAGTGGACAGTGGGTAGCACTGTTGCCTTGCAGCAAGTAGGTTCCGGGTTCGATTCCTGGTCCGGGGACTTTCTGAATGGAGTTTGCTTGTTCTCCCTGAGCACTTGTGGGTTTTCTCAGGGTACTCCGGCTTCCTCTCACAGTCCAAAAACATGACTGTTGGGTTAATTGGCTTCTTTAATTTCTCCGTAGGTGTGCCTGTGTGAGTGAATGGTTGTTTATCCTGTTGTCTCTGTGTTGCCCTGCGATGAACTCTCTCTTGCCCAATGACTGCTGGAGATAGGCACCAGCACCCCTCAAGACCCCGCTTGGGATAAACGTGACAGAAAATGGATGGATTGGTGGTTCTATTTTTTTTATTTCCAACATAAAACCAACTTGAAGAGGAAGAAGTCAAAACTTTTATTGTATTAACTTCTGTCTTTTTTTCTATTTTATCAATTTCTCATTTTATTTATGAATTTTTACCCACTTTTTATATTACTTTATTGTTTTTTTTTATTGAAGAAACAAGCCATAGTAGTTGGATAACTGTTTCAAAAAATGGCACCACCCCTCAAACAGTGTGATTGACATTTGGTATGAAGTCACAGGTGTAATATGTTAGGATTTTCCTCTAATATAGTTTTTTTTCCTTTAATGCAAAGCACCCCTACTTTGGCATGAAGATTATACTTCTATTTTTAAATCTATTTTAAATCTAATTCTGCTTGTAAGGAATGTTTACATGAATTGTGCAAACAGAACTTTTTTCCATTTCAGTCTGATTGAAGGTCATGTAGCTGCGAAATAAGCCTAAATCATCACTCCCTCTCCACTGTGTTTGACAGTTGCTATGACATGTGCTGATAATCTGCTGTCTTTAGTTTCTATGCACACCAGCTTGTGCATTGTGGCCAGACGTACAGTATCTGCTTTAGTCTCATCTTTTCACAACAAATTGTTCCAGAATTGTTGTGTTGCCATATTTATGTAACACGCCTTATTTCACATTAGCATGCGAACTAGGACTAAAATTTCAGTCAAGTTGGCTGTTTGTTTCTAAAATAAGACCAGATCATTACTTTTTTACCCCTATGCTTGATAGTTGATGATTTATAGTTAGTGATGCGCTGATATATTGTGAATCATTTTCTCTATCCATGACATTTTGCCCTGTGGTCAAACATCACTCTGTCATTGCTGAGGTCTTTGCCCCTCAACATAGTATAAAGATTCACACTTCTGCTTCTGTCACATTTGCCCACGATCAACTTATCATTGGGCTTTTTCTCCGTTGTATTTCAAGAGTTGATGGAAGTAATTAATCTCCTATGAAATATGAAATGCCAGAGAACTTTCTTATAGTTTAGCACTGACAGAGAAGCCTGTCACATATTATTTTTAAATGAATGTGATGCATCATATAATTGATCTCATTTAGAAAATAGAAACAAGAAGGGTATTTTCATTAAGGGTTTTGCAGTTTGTGTGGCATTTGTCAATGAGTCGATGCAATCAGCTGATTTTCCTTAGGTAGAAAACTTTGAACCAATCTGACTATATGATCGGTGTATGAGCTTTAAGATGATGTGTGTTGTGAATTGGCTCTATATAAATAAACTACATTCATCTGAATTTAATTCAAATCAGCTTTCGAGATGTAAAATAATAATGCTTGAATTTTTACATTAAAGATCTTAAAATTGTTCTCAGTCTATAGGAATGAACACAAACATATTTAAAAATGCACTAAACGTCTTTTTTATGACATCTGATTGCATCTCTACCATGTGGCTTTGATAATGTTGGAATATCAGCTCAGATGGACGGTCTGTGTCATCTTTATTACTGCAAACAATGTTTGGACAAAATTTGGGGCGGAACATATTAAAGTTGCTGTCCAGCGCAGCCAAACGCATTATATCTGGCCCTAGAGCAGAGATGTTTGTATAAATAACATTCCAATGAGCTCTTTTCCAAAGTCAATAAGTGGAGAGAAAAGGCTGAACCTTGTTTAAAAAAAAATAAAACATGTGGTCCTGCTCCACCTTGGAATTTATCCAGTTAAGCTACACAAGCAGCTCCTCTAATTGAGTTGAAGTTGCTCTTTTAGCTCTGTAAAAGTGACTCCGCTTGGAAATAAGATTAAGTCGAACCTTTACATCCAGCAAAAAAATTCAGAAATTTTTGTTTAGCTTAGAAAACTTAGAAAACAGTTGGAAAATGTATTTATTTTTGTTAAATCTATTATTTATAGAATTATTTAGGCACTATTTAACATCAGCGACAGTTTGAGCTTTTATACTAGTTAGTAGATTTGATCGTTACTATTTGTTTATAGTTACTATTTGTTGCCAATCAAGGTTTTTTTCTAAAATGTTTTTAAAACTGTTAATTACGATTTTATTATTATAACCCAACTTTTTCCAGATGCTTGTTTTAGAAAGGTTTTACCATTCAACTCAAGAACATTTGGATCCTGCAAGATTCTCACTGTTTATGCATCAAAGCATATCTTTCTAATCAGATTTCCATTATACGTAAAAGGGCTTCAAAGTACATGCTGATCCATTAATGAGTTAGTGGATCAAAAATGCTGGGAAAGCTTAGTTTAATGCATTTAATGAAGCACTACCGATAACCAATGAGAGCCTATGGAGGAATAAAAATGACCAATTGATTGTTGGTGCATTCTTAGTTACAGTGGATATAAACAAACCTTTAAATGGTGGGTGAGTTTTATTTTGGGGTGAAAATTGTGACCCTTGAATGCTTTGGAGTTCAATATCAGAAGTTTTCCTGCTAAGTTTAGTTGATGATCCAGAGGTGCTATGATGGTAATGCTATTTCACCAAAAAAGATGGAACATATTTAAAACATATGAAAAATTCAGCCATTATTAAACTCGGCTGATGCTGATTCACACATCACCTCTAAAGTATGATAAATGTAATGATAAATTTAGCTCAAGCGATGAGGCATTACTATAATAAAATGTAATACATCTATTATAATTTGCAACATTTTAGTCCTGGTTAGTCCTCTTTACTTAAACATTTTTGCCCATTTCCTTGGGATCATAAGCACTCTTGGGAATGTTCCATGTTTTCATCATTTATCGACTATGTATTTCACAGTGGTTCACTAGTGATCCCAAAGCCTTAGAAATAGTTTTCTAACCCTTACTAAACAGACACATTTTATACTTTATGTTGTCAGTCAGGTTTTATTTATTACCCCTTTGACACTAATATCAACTTAAAGCAATTCGCTTCAAGTGAGCACTCTATAGTTTTTTTTTCCATTAGCAACTGTTATACCGAACCATTACTATTTTAACTGCCTGCCTGCTTTCTGTTCCACCTGTTCCAAGTTACACTAAAAATATGACGTCAGAAGACTCTGTCCAAAAGGCTTCACTAGTCACAGCATCATAGCTAAACATACATACATCTGGGTTTTTGGAGCCGTGCGCTGAACATCGATCATAACAATCATTATCTGTTGATCACCGATCGCAGCATCAAATCTATAAATTCCTCAACTCTCTCATGTACATTGACATTGCGTTATTAGGTATCAAAATTATAGGAGACAATAAAATATCATCAATAACCTAGTATCAGGTGGGTTTAAGAAGTATTTTACACCATTACATCTGCAAAGAGACGTCTTAGTTCCCAATTGCATAGGGGACCAACCAGGTGTCAGTGACGGGCCCCTAAGAGGTCAGGGGCCGCTAAGCAACTGTGGTCTCCGCTTACTGATAGTTATTGCTGGGGGTTATTTAATATGAGCAGTGTTGTAGCACTATAACATTAGATAGTATTTGCATTAGCTTATCTTAACATGTTCTCTACCTTGTATACTCTCAGCTGATATGGCTTCTCTCTGACTTCTGTACATATCCAAGGTGTTTCATCTACCCACCTACAGCCTTCCATGAATCTCCTCTTTTACCTTGAGTCTCACAGCAGCCATAAAAAAAAACAGCAGTCTAGGCTGATTTGCTTAAATCTCTAGAAACTCTTCAGAGTTCAGGACTGCCTTGCTATCAAAGATCCTTCCTTTACTGAGGTGCTACTGAATTTAATGGAAAATTCATAAAAATGTGTTGAAATAATCCAACCCGTTCTAATCGTCACTAATGGAAAAGGAGCACAGGTGGCTTCTTGAGTCTACAGTGATCGAAACAGTAATTGTTAGAGCAAGTTCATTTCTACATTAGGCCCAATTGTTTTTGATAGCCTTTTCCGGATTGATGAAATTATAATTAAAAAATTCAGATTTTATTTTGTTTTATTTGAAAATCTGGCTCTTTCCACAGTCTACCCAGCGATACATGCATGGTAATAATGTTCCACTGATTAAAGCACTCACAATTACAAATGCTACAAGTAAATGTCTTCTTTAATGTTTTATTTATCGTTTTAACTAAGTGCTGTTTTTCTATAATGCATTTCTTAGCTAACAAAACACATATGACCAGACAGGTAGCAACAACATGTTTTTTTATTTTTATTTTAAATGGAATGTTGGTAAAAAATAGATTTGCTGCTTTGATCTATTATTTTGTGTTATTTTCCATATTATTATTCTATTATTTTTAATATAGTCATCCAGCTTGTTTGAAATGTAATGTTAAGTGACATTAAAGTAGGTTTTTATTTTGCTTTTTGTTCATAGTGTCCAATTAATATTTACACCCTACCTTATTTAAGGTAAATGTCCCTCAGTAAGTTTTCCAGAGAAACCAAACGCTTTAGTTCACATCAACCATCTTTTGCATCAACCATCTTTGGCTTGATATGCAACCAACCTTCTTGGCAGCATTAGTTGTTTTCAGTTGGTTAGTTTCTGGCATGGTCTTAGCTTTTAAGAACAGTAAAGCCCCTTACCATGATACTAACACCAACATGCTTGGCCATTGCTACAGTGTTTAAAAGCCTCCATACATTGTGTCATTATGGCCAAATCAGCTCAGTCTGTCTTGTATGACTGTAAAACATCTTCACATTAGAATTTTCAGCTTAAATCAATGTGCATTAATTTACCAAAGAATACTTGTAGCTTTAAAATCCATAAAAAATTCTGTTATGTATTTATAAATACAGAATTCTGCATGGTATGGAACCACCTTTCTTTTTAAGTCTTTCTCCACAATTAATTACTCACTGGTTACAAATATGCAGCAAACTATCCACCGGGATACAAGCAGAAGGTCTTCGAGAAACCTGTTTTTTTTTTTTTTCCCAAAAGAAACAAAAATACCCAAACAAAACACAAAAGTAAATGTTCCTCCCGAAACTATGGCTCATTTTTGTTCCATATATAGGCATCTTCTCAAAAAGTCTTTCATGCTCTATGTTCTCCAGTGTATTATTCTGAAGGTGGATTTAACTTCCTTCTGCAGCGTTATATATTTATCCCTTCTTTCATAGCGTTTATTCTATAAAGGCAATTTTTTGGGGGGGTTCTCTTACATGCATTTTGGTATCATTTCCTGCAAGCTCCTCTCCAGCCTGTTGTGCTTACTGGAGGGCCACAAAGCTGCTTTTATATTCTGACAAAGGGATGAAATGCCATAAACAATGTTTTCAGGCAGGCAAAGAGCAGTCCGCAGTCACCATGTCTGACTCTGACAGCAGAGGCACACTTTCAAAGTAATATCTCTGTGAAATTTACTACTCCTAGAGTCATTATAAAGAAATTTAAACTCTACATCTAATAAAGCAAACATAGTTCATAAAGAAAGACTTAGGAATTCATGTAAACTTGATGAAACTGCTTTGATGTGGCAGTTTTGAGAAGAGACCATGACCTAAGAAATATGCTGCGGAAGAGCTGCAGTCATTTATTAAATGCTTTCGTCTTCCTCTGAAGCGTTTTCTCAATCATCCTGTGTGGAAAGGAAGGCTGGGGAGGGATTACAGCGGACTTAATTCCTCTTTCGTATATCAAAAACGGATACTTAGTCAAACAGAGCAGCTCAGATTTTGTAAAAGTGCCAAGACGAGTTATTTATCCACAGCTAAAGAACATAAACGTCATAAAACCAGAGACTGATGGCCTTTTTGTTTCTTTGTGTTCATTACTTCCTCTCCATCTTAAGTTTGTCAGAGTGGAGTTATCTCTGATGGACTTAAGAGGTTTGTTTTCCGACAGAAAAAAAAATCACTTTAAGCAACTGTATTGTACATATTTTTTCAGATTAGTAATACATAAATCAGAAAAAGTCCATTTGTCATCTAAGTTGTCAAGCTAAAGTGCTTTTGTTTTTCATTTCCACAGGTAAAGGAGGCTCAAGCATCTCCTCTGACATAAGCTCAAGCACAGATCACACACCAACCAAAGCTCTGAAGAATGTGGCTTCCACTGAAGGTAAGGCATCTGGTGCTCATTAACCAAACTGCCCTCCCTTTTTTTTTTTTTCCTCTTCTTCTCTCCTCCTCCCGGGCTGCCTTTTTTGGGACAGAAACCTGTGTATTCCTTGGTTCCAGCTCCCATCAGAACCAAGAAAATGTTTTAGAAGATGGAGGAAAACATACACACACTTCTGGCTTCTCATGGTGAAAGAATGCTTATCTAAACTGAGCTTGTATCAGGCTCAAAGTGCTGCCTGGTATTGAGGGAGGTGCACGGTTGCAGGAAAGGGGTTTTCTTGGAGATGGAGACTGTCAAGAATCCAAATGGAGGAAGGGGAGCCTCTACTTCTTTCGTTCACCTCTCTGGCACCCTGGTGCATGTTTGTTATCTTCTGTTTTCTGACTTTACAATCTGCCAAAGTGAAGCTTCTGCAGGGACTTTTTTTTATCAAGTATTTATCAGTCTATCTAATCTCTATACCTGCTCATCCTAGGTCCATCTAAAGAAGTAAAAAGCATGGCTCTTAGCAAGAATAAATAAAGAAATCAGTATGCTCACTCAAAAAGTATTGGTACATCTTAAACCTTAGTAAAAATTGACAGGCTATAATCACACATTTTCTTATTTTTACCTTATGGTGCATAATTTTACATTTGCAGAAAAAATATCTGTAGTTAATGAACTGTTTTAGATAAAAATAAAAAAACTTTCTAACAGCATGATACTGAACTTTGTTTCAGACCAAGTGAGGTGTGTTCACTCTCCTGCCAGACTATTATTGGGGAATTTAACCTTTTAAATCCATGGGCACATGTTTTAAATCTTAGTGCAATGCTTCTTATTTCCACTCTTTAAGTGTAAAATGTTTTGCTCTCTAAAACTACCCTTGAACTGAAAAAAGTTTAACTTGATTTCAAATATGCCTGCACTCCTCCCTAAACTGGTGTTCTGCTGTCAGGTTTAGTGCCTCTTTCACAAATATCTTCTGACACTGATGGAATCCTGCTCCTTGGCGTCATATTTCCTCTGTTTGTGTGTAAAACCTGCACCTTCAGCTTTATGAGCACAGCCATGAACCCCCCAAAAAATGCATGTCAAAGTCACTCTGCTAATGAGCAAAGTTAGCAGTGTAAATAAATTCTGCAAGCAGAGATAAGCAGGTTCACACTGAGAACATTTAGACAGAGTCTAGACACACTGTAGAGAGGGATTTGCTTCCTGCCCCATCCTTCAGCATGACCGGTTTGGCAGTGGGTCAGTAATGGTGTGGGGTGGCAGTTCTTTGGAGGGCTGCAGAGCTCTCCATGTGCTCACCAGAGGAAGCATGGCTGCCATAAGGTACCGAGATGAGATCCTCAGACCACTTGTGAGATCATATGCTGGTGCAGTTGGCCCTGGGTTTCTACTAATGCAGGATAATGCTAGACCTCATGTGGCTGGAGTGTGTCAGCAGCTACTGCAAGATAAAGGCATTGAAGCTATGGACTGGCGCATCTGCGACAGCAGGTTTTGATCCATCCACTAACGTCATGTTGCACCACAGACTGTCCAGGAATTTGCAGATGCTTTAGTCCATGTCCTGGAGGAGATCCCTCTGGAGACCGTCCACCACCTCATCAGGAGCATGCCCAGGCATTGTAGGGAGGTCATACAGGCACATGGAGGCCACACACAATACTGAGCCTGATTTGGACCTGTTTTAAGGACATTATATCAAATTAGGTTGGATCAGCCTGTAGTGTGTTTTTGCACTTAGATTTTGTGTGTGACAACAAATCCATGCCTACATGGGTAAAAAAAAGGATTTCCATTTGATTATTTGTGTGTGATTTTGTTGTCAGCACATTCAACTTTGTACATAACAAAGTATTCAATGAGAATGTTTCATTATTTCAAATCTAGGATGTGTTATTTGGGTGTTCCCTTCATTTTTTGAGCAGTGTAAAAGAGGTGAAGGTTTATGGTGTATTCCATCCTTAGATCCAATATATCAATATTTTGGCAAAAAGGCACAGCACAGAGATCATTTGCTAGAAAAATTCAAATAGCTGAAGTGTTCAGGTATTTACTTTCAGGAAATTGTCAAATGTCTAATGTTGCTGTGACGCTTAAAAAGCAATTTAGGTGCCTGCTCTCTATTAATTTTTGTCCCTCATACTTATAGCTGCATGGCCAATAATAATGTAGTGTGTTCGTTCTTATTTAGTTGGAGTCTGTCAGAATCCAGCTAACAAAATGGGTATTTAAGTAATGCTCAGTGTTGATTTTGCACCAAACGGACAGCGACTTTTCATTATTAATTCCCTTTTAGATTTCTTTACACTCTGTCACATTCAAGCTATGAACTTTAATACATTTTATAGGGATTTATAAGAGATTAGCACACAACTGTGATATTAAAGAAAAATATTTTATGTTCTACAAAATCTTTTTAATACCCTCTAGAACCACCTTTGCAGCAATTACAGCTGCAGTTCTTTAAGGTGTTCTTTACCAGCTTTACTCACCTGGATATTTAAAAATAAACCTATTCCTCTATGCAAAACAGAGCTGTGAACATCATTTGAAAAGTTTTCTATCAGATTTTTTCGATTTTGGTCTAAACTTTAGACTGGGCTAATCTAGCATATTTATATAATTTCTGTTTTAAATTAAACTTTTCCATTGTAAAGGACTGAACACACCCAACACATCTTAGTGTCCAATCACATTGAATCTTTGATCGTATGAGGTCATGGCTCTCACATATCATTGAAAATGCAAGGGGCTGGTTAGACCACACACGATTCTATGCAACTGTGCCTGAGTAGCTCTGACCAAAGTAGACCCCTGGTCTATTTTAGTCGGACCCATGTTGCAATTTGGAAGCAATGATGTGAGTCAGACAGGAAGAGAGGGACAGTGGCAAAATAAAACACATCCACTTTGGGGGAAAATACAAAGTAAAATCTCTCAATTGCAAGGTAAACAAGCAACTACACAGTGAGTATATAGCAAGCAGGACAGACTAAGACTTACGCAATCAATAAAACATTTCAGTAAACTGTGTATTTTTCCCAGGATAGTCACTCAGGAGGACAGAAAAAGGAAAGTAAAATAGGGATCCTAATTCGGCTTGTGACATTATGACATTAAAAGCTAACTTTCTCTGAGAATCACCTTTCACTTATAAATCGTTCCCCAGTCTTTGTTGTGGCTGCGGTTTATTTTCTTAATGTTGTTCCTAATATATTTACTATTGGCGGAAATCTTTCACCTGTTCCGTTTTATTTTAAAAGCACCATGTACAGGTTGGTCATGAAGTAGGGCTCTGCTTTTGTGGGTTTTTTTTTTAAGCTGACGTGACAATCACTGGAGCTCTGCTGTCTTTCAAATTAAAGTAAATCTTCTACTTTTTAGATTTTGACTCAGTCAAATAGGAAACATTGTTTCAACTGTGGGACTGAAGTGCAAAATTAAACATGGCCTTGCACAAATTGAGATATTTGGTTTCCCTTTGCTTAGTGGGAGCCTCCATGCAGCCAGTGTGGCATGACATTAAAGCTTACAAAGCAGTACATGAGCAGTTTGACCCAGTGGTAACTCTTCTTTAACTCTATCCATATTCCCATCAACTATTACCAGTTTCCCCTGTCCCTTCTGAAAGAACCAGACAGCATGGTGCCACCCTTCTCAAGTGGGATGCACAGTTAGTTTTCTGACACATACAGCACTCTCTCTATATATAAGCTGAAAAGTATTTTTGGTTTTTCAGAGAATTTCGAACATAATCCATCCTTTTTCCCATTTGATCATAATTAATCTTTAAATACTAAAGTTTGTGGTTTTAACTTCACCAAGTGGAAAAAATGATTTTCATTATAATGAAAGTTTTATATGGGAACTGTGCATTTCATAACTCAAAGTCGCTGATTAGTTTTGATTGAAAACCTCATCAAACTGTCACACAGATTTTTTTGTTTTTCAGATGCAATGTCTTTCAGCTAAGCTGTGACTCATTGCCTGTTTTGCTCACTCATGCACATAAAGAGCATAGTCGCCCTGCTGCTGTCATGCATTGTCATCACTGATCTTAAATTTGCTCTGGCATGGTGAACGTAATATTCCTGTGGTTTAGTGCTCCCCACACAAAAACAAATAGCAGCTAGAGCCTGTGTTTATAACTGTTGCTCTGGCTGAAGGATTCAAGGTGTTTCTCAGGGAGCAAATTATGGAGGATTGCAGTGAAAGAAAATGTCTGACAAACTCTGCTTTATTTTTTTTTAGTTTCACACCAGATGTGAGGCCAAATCATCCAGTTAGCTATTAAAATTTCGAGTGAGACGAAAGCCGATTATTGCTGCGCAATTTAGCTTCATTGGAAGCGCTGACTCATTTGGATCTGTCCACCTAAAGGAGCTTCTGGAAATAAACCCGAGGAGTTGTATAATTGTTCCAAATATGTCTCCTCTGAGCACAACCTGTGCAGATACGAAGTGAGTAACAAACCGTAGACAACTGCGTCCAAACCATAATTCCCAACTGTGTTTTGACTGAAAATGATATTTTTTTTCTCCACGCTAAGTGGGAGTAATTATATGGTCTGCAACCACCACCACCACCACAGTCAAATCCCCCCTCCTTAGAAAGACACGCACACCCATAAACGTGCACATGCACCAGCGCACACAGGCCGTGCTGAACCTTGTTCAGATACTCGCCTGCAGTGGCAGATCATGCAGCTCTGGCCCACACAGTCCTGTGGTCCACTAAACTAATCAGGAAGCAGTCTGGGCTGTTTCCCCACCACACACTGGGAGTATTCATGCTCTCCCAGAGCTGCTCTTCGGCCACTGCCACACTGATTCAGTTAGCTTTTTATCTCGGAATCAATCATCGCAATACAGCAAGACATCTTCTGCTGCAACTGCCTTTGATTGAACTGGAACCCCACACATTACTCGTTAGTAAACAACAAAACTCTTGAATGTTAAATCGAACATATCATTAATCCAAAAAGAGCTATGAGGAAATCA